TTTGAGCCAGGAGAGATTGACGTTTGCTCTCTGTCTACATCCAAGGGCCAGCCGTGCTGCCCTGTTCTGAGCCAATTGCAATTTTCCTAAGTCCCTTTTTGTGGCACCTGACCACACGACTGAACAGTAGTCCAGGTGCGACAAAACTAGAGGCTGTAGGACCTGCCTTGTTGATAGTGCTGTTAAGAAGGTAGAGCAGCGCTTTATTATGGACAGACTTCTCCCCATCTTAGCTATTGTTGTATCAATATGTTTTGACCATGACAGTTTACAATCCAGGGTTACTCCAAGCAGTTTAGTCAACTCAACTTGCTCAATTTCCACATTATTTATTACAAGATTTAGTTGAGGTTTAGGGTTTAGTGAAAGATTTGTCCCAAATACAATGCTTTTAGTGTAATGGTTGGTGTGAGGTGTGACCCAGGTGCGGAGCAGAATATACAGTAGGCAGTAGGCAGAGATGGTGAAACAAGGATCTTTACTGGTGGTCCCGAAGCCAGAATACAAAAGAACGGACTTATCACGATAAAAGAAAGGGCGAGCAAATAAGTTTCCAAAAACCCGTCTGACAGCCAAAATACGAAATACTACCTACGACTGAAACAAATAACGAAACAGGGAGAACACTTCTCAAGTACCTGTACATAGGTCTCCGATCAGACACTGAGTAGTACTGCTGGACATAGAGAAACTAACAGAGAAAACTGAGCAAGGGAACACAGGGAAGTGAGGGCATAAATACACAGGTGAACAGGTAGACACTGATTAGTCCAGACTGTGAGTGAGGAGGTGCCTAAGGTTGTCGGAGGATGACACCTAGTGGGTCGCTCCGGAACTGCGACCCCTCCTGTAACATTATAGTTTTTGAAATATTTAGGACTAACTTATTCCTTGCCACCCTGTCACACCCTGATCTGTTCCACCTGTCTTTGTGCTTGTCTCCACCCCGAACCAGGTGTCTCCCATCTTCCCCCATTATCCCCCTGTGTATTTATACCTGTGTTTTCTGTTTGTCTGTTGCCAGTTCATCTTGTCTTGTCAAGCATACCAGTGTGTTGTTTACCGTACTCCTGTTTTCTCTAGTCCCTGTTTTCTAGTCCTCCCGGTTCTGACCATTTCTGCCTGTCCTGACCCTGAGCCCGTCTGCCATACCATTCTGCCTTCCTTGACCCCAAGCTTACCTGCCGTTCCTCTATCTATATGACTCTGACCTGGTTTACGATCTTCTCCCTACCCTGACCCTGAGCCTGCCTGCCGCCCTGTACCTGTAGGACTCGGACCTGGTTACGAACCTCTGCTTGTCCTCGACCTGCCCTTTTTCTGCCTCCTGTGGTTTAATAAACTACTCTGTGTCTGCATCTGGGTCATATCCTGAGTCGTGTTACCACCCATTCTGAAACTAACTGCAGCTCTTTGTTAAGTGTTGCAGTCATTTCAGTTGCTGTAGTAGCTGTGTATATATAGCAGGGGGTGTAAAGCCATAACACATAAGTTCTTCCACCAGCAGACTATGATCGATAATGTCAAAAGCCGCACTGAAATCTAACAAAACAGCCCCCACAATCTTTTTATCATAAATTTCTCTCAGCCAATCATCAGTCATTACTGTCAGTGCTGTGCTTGTTGAATGTCCTTCCCTACAAGCGTGCTGAAAGTCTATTGTTAATTTGTTTACTGTAAAATAGCATTGTTTCTGGTCAACACAATTCTTTCCAAAACTTTACTACGGGTTGGTAACAGGCTGATTGGTCTGCTATTTGAGCCAGTAAAGGGGGCTTTACTATTCTTAGGTAGCAGAATGACTTTTGCTGCCCTCCAGGCCTGAGGGCACACACTTTCTAGTAGGCTTAAATTGAAGATATGGCAAATAGGAGTGGCCATATTGTCCGCAATTATCCTCAGTAATTTTCCATCCAAGTTGTCAGACCCCGGTGGCTTGTCATTGTTGATTGACAAAAAAAAGTATCTTCCATACTCAGTTTACGGAATTCAAAATTACAATTCTTGTCTTTCATAATTTGGTCAGATATACTTGCATGTGTAGTGTCAGCAATTGTTGCTGGCATGTCGTGCCTAAATTTGCTAATCTTGCCAATGAAAAAAACATTAAAGTAGTTGGCAATATCAGTCGGTTTTGTAATGAATTGACATTTTTACATTTTAGTAGAGGCTCTTATCCAGAGCGACTTACAGTTAGTGAGTGCATACATTTTCTTACTGGTCCCCGTGGGAAACGAACCCACAACCCTGGCATTGCAAGCGCCATGCTCTACCAACTGAGCTACAGGGGATTCAATGAATGAATCTCCAAAGCTTTTTACTATCATTCTTTATGTAATTGATCTTTGTTTCATAGTGTAGTTTTTTTTTCTTTTTATTCAGTTTAGTTACATGATTTCTTAAATTGCAGTACGTTTGCCAATCAGTTGTGCAGCCAGACTTATTTTGCCATTCCTTTTGCCTCTTCCCTCTCAACCATAAAATTTTTCAATTCCTCATCAATCCATGGCAATTCAACAGTTTTTACAGTTATTTCGTTAATGTGTGCATACTTATTAGTAATTGGGATAAGCAATTTCATAAATGTGTCAAGTGCAACATCTGTTTGCTCCTCACTACACACCACGGACCAACAAATATTATTTATATAAAAAACATAGAAATCACTGCAAAACTTATTGTATGACCTCTTATACACAATATTAGGCCCAGCCTTTGGAACTTTGGTTTTCCTAGATATGGCTACTATATTGTGATCACTACATCCGATGGATCTGGATACTGCTTTCAAGAAAATTTCTTCAGCATTAGTAAAGATATGATCAATACATGTTGAAGATTTCATTCCTGTGCTGTTTGTAACTACCCTGGTAGGTTGACTGATAACCTGAACCAGGTTGCAGGCACTGGTTACAGTTTGAAGCTTTTTCTTGAGAGGGCAGCTTAATGAAAGCCAGTCAATATTTAAATAACCCAGAAAATATACCTCTCTGTTGATATTACATACATTATCAAGCATTTCACACATGTTGTCCAGATACTGACTGTTAGCACTTGGTGGTCTATAGCAGCTTCCCACAAGAATGGGCTTTAGGTGAGGCAGATGAACCTGCAGCCATATTGCTTCAACAGTATTGAACATGAGATCCTCTCTAAACTTTACAGGTTACTGGTTCTGAACATAAACATCAACACCTCCACCACTGGCATTTCTGTATTTTCTGTAAATGTTATAACCTTTTATTGCTACCATTGTGTCATCAAAGATATGATCTAAGTGAGTTTCAGAGATAATAAGAATAAGAATGTCATCTGTTACTAGCAAGTTATTAATTTCATGAATCTTGTTTCTTAAGCAACATATGTTGACGTGGGCTATTTTGAGCACTTTTCTGGGATCCTTGCTTGTTTTCATTGCTTTACTGCGAAGCTTAGCAGAAGTAGATATTCTCATGTTATTTATGTTAGTGCAGGGTGAGCTGTAAACAGTGGACTTCCTACTAGGGCACACTGCCTCAGTGCTAACAGCATAAATCTGGTTCATAGACACATGATTGCGGCATGCAATAACTGTAGGATCAGCAGAGGCTTTCAAGGCAGTTAGAGGGACATAAATTATGTTACTTACATTGTGTCTACCAATGCCCCTGGTATAATGTACATTTGCAAATGTATTATGATGACTCAGCGACACAATGGTAGGGATGAACTGAGCTGGGCTTGGGTCATTGATAAGTCATTGTCTCAACGCAGCCTTATAATGCTGTGAGAAGATCCAGGAACCAAAATGATTTGGGTGTATCCCATCCTCCTTATAAAACGTGTCTTGTTTCCGAAAGGTATTGAAATTGTCAACAAAAGTTACACCAGTTGGAGATGCAATAATCACATAGCCAGTTGTGAAGAGAAAGAATCCTGCTAAAGCGTTCAATGCCATGATTCAGAGAGGGTACGGGGCCAGATATGATTGGGATTCCTCGCTCTTCTCCAGCTCCACTCCGCTCACATACTCTGCCCCCAGCGGCCAAATCGCTCTACACCGTATTGTGACGTTTTATTGATAACGGCCTATAGCAGTAAGGCCAAATTCATTGTTTCAACAAATAATTGTTTACATATTTGTTTCTGATACTCCCAGGGGTCCTAAAATACAAAATAAAATATCTAGATGGTCCATGTTGTCACTATCTTAAAACAGTTCCATATGTTAGGTTAGTAAAGATGATACAAACATGGCTTAAAGTCTAGAAGGTTACAACAGAAACCAATTGGTTGTAATCTGGTTACGTAACGTCTTCTCAACCAGAAAATGATGTAATGTGCCAAATGTCAACTGTACTGTCTACCCCTGGAACATGATAGGCTTCTGTTTGTTTATACTCCTGATATTATAATATCCTGATTATTATCCTGATATTATACTGATATACAGTATATCTTCTGCATGGACACTACAGTTTGTGTGGCTTTCCCACTGTAAACCTGAACTTCCATTATAACACTGTCTGATATCTTGTAACCAGGCCGTCTGTTTTGAAAGGATCCTATTTGACCACACACCACGCCAGCCTATTTGTTACTTTGCTCTGTCTCTGAGTGAGCTGGGCATCCCAGCACTGATCTGGAGTCAGCAGGTGAGAGAGTGTGTGTTCTGAGACACACTCACACACACACGCTCACACGCTCACGCTCACACACACACACACACACACACACACACACACACACACACACACACACACACACACACACACACACACACACACACACACACACACACACACAAACACACACACACACTGCTTACAGCACTGTGGCTGTAACAAGGAGCCAGAGAAAAACACACACATGGTTTTGCTCTCAGACCCTAAAACAACACCCTGAGAAAGCCATCCCGATCTATCTGCCGTGGAAGAGACTTAAACAAAAGAGCAGTCTTTCTCCGGGCTTCTCATCCTATCAGGTTTCCCCCTCTGTGTCCGCTTGCACAGCTGTGGGCCATGGCTTCCCTCTCACTCTCCGAGGCCGACTCACACAAGGTAAACACACACCCGGACGGCCGGCAAAGCTGGATAGGAAAACGCTCGATGGACAGGGTTGATTTTGCCTGTGTTGTTTTTGCTCACAATGCCTTTTGGGTTGAATCATAAATATCACTGTAGTTGAAAATCTCCAACTGAATTAGGTTGTTTAACAAAGATTGTATGGGATGAGCTGGAGTTAGTGTTTGAAATGGCACTAGGTAGGTCTCGGACAGAGTCAATTTAGAGTGAGCCGGGTGTTTCTATCTGCGATGGTGTGATCAGCTGCGATAGGGAGCATAGCTCATAAAGCATAATAGCCCGCCATCAGGAAACTAAATATAGATGGTGTTTTGATTGCGTGAAAAATGACATTTCAAAGGAGATTAGGATCAGCACCACTAAAACAACAGTGCCAAGAGCCAAGGGGCAGAGCTCTGTCACCCCTGCCCCCCTGCCCTCCCGCCCGCCCGCCAACCTGCCTGCCTCACACAGCTCTTACAGCAGGTATCCGCAATTATCCTCAGGGCCGTGTGTCACTTTTTCCAGCGCAGGGATTCTATGTGTGTGTGGGATTGTGTGTGTGTATGTGTCTTTCTGTGTGTTTGCGTGTGTGTGTGTCTCTTTGGGAGTGTTGTGGGGGGTCATAGGTCAATGGTCCGGGTTGGCTCCTTCACTTGGCTTCTTGTCGCCCCTAGTCACTGAGTGGCTGTGACCCCATGACCCTGTGACCTCATCTCCTTAGCTCCCTCAGCCCTCCTTCCATAGCAACCGCAGGTTGAGGTGCATGACATCATGAGCTGCGGTCTTCGCTAATGATGGGAGAGCGGGAGGCGGAAAGTGAACGGGAAAGGGGAGGGGGTGTAGTGGGGTGTGATCCGGAGCGCGGATAATTTTTTCCGACATTATTCGAGTATTAGCAGTGTCATTATTAACGCAGGTGTGTTTTCTCAATGACCAAATTCTTCTTATGCTTCGCTGAATAGAGCCTGTCAGAATCCAGCTGGGAGATGTGAAAGGGCGTTGCTGCCGGCAATAGATGACCCCCGCGGAAACACACACACACACACACTCGCCGTCCCTGTCTAGCTGGCCACAACACCCCATATATCCCAAACACTTTCCCCCTGTAAAGCATAGCGTAGCATAGCATAGCATAGAATCCCCGCTTCATGCTTTATTTTTACAAAATCCGAACACACGCGGAGGATCAGGATATGGCCGCTTACATGATTTAATTAGCACAGGCGAAGTACTGAGAGGTCAAACTCCATTCAGAGCAGAAACTCTATCCACTCATTGATTCTATTAAAATAATGTGTGTGTGTGTGTGTGTGTGTGTGTGTGTGTGTGTGTGTGTTTGTGACAGACCCTCCTCCTTCCCCCACACACTCCTTCTCCCCACCCCCGTACACCCCACCAGTGGGCTCTAACACTGTCAGCTGAATACAACCCTGGGGTTCAATGGCACGCTTAAAAGTAATGCAACAATACACTGTACATACTTATAGGGCACTAGTGTGTACATGCAAACACATAAAAAGACAAAAACTAAGTAAAATAAAATAAAATGTTATTTGTCACATGCTTCGTAGACAACAGGTGTAGACTAACAGTGAAATTATTTATGTGTCCATTTCCAACATTGCAAAGTAAAGATAAGATCACAATGAAATAAAATATTGAAATAGTGACACGAGCAATAAATACACAGTGAATAACAAATTAAATGTTTGTGTGTGAGGTGCAAAACGGGACGGAGTTAGTGATGTTAGTTCCTGCGTGCGTTCCTGCGTGCTTGTGTCTGACCATGCTCATGTGGATGTGGGTGTGTGTGAGGTGAATGAAGCTATGCCTGCTGTGAAAGCCATTAGGTGCAATTGAAGTGGGAGCGATCATTGAGCGTGAGCCTGCCAGCCGCGGATGTTTGGGCTTTGGTAGAATCAGTGGTCTCTGCTTAAAAGAGCATCGTCTGGGAGACGCAGTCCGGGGTTTACGACACCGTTCAGCCTCTAATGGACAGACGTCCACGCACCCAACACAGCGGTCATTCTTCGCTCTCACACACACCACACACACAGACCTACACACACACGGCCCAGGGCTTTTAATAGAATCAATGAGTTGATCGAGTTTTTGCTCTGAATGGAGTTTCAGAGCAGCACTGGGGTCATGACTGGGGTGACTGGGTTCATTCTTCACTCACACAGACCTACACACACACACGCACATTCTCTCCTCACAGTTAGACATACACATACGCCTGCAATCAGAAACTCCCTATACATGCATGGCATGCAGACATACACTTATAGCACACACACACGCACACCACACACACACACACACGTCTTACTGCACTGATGTAGGGTGGGAAGCCATACTGTGGCACAGTACTCCAGGTGAGTTGTTATCATGTTATGGTAGATTGTCAGGAGGATGTCCTTGGAGACGAAGTCCCTTGCCATTTTTATAGCGCCAAGCCCAGACAGCAGTTTCCCTGTGGGTCCAACTTCGTCCCCAGGTACTTTATGTTACTCTTGTGACACTTTTGCCTATGTGTCTCAGCTTTGGTGGGTTGCCAAACAGCATTGCGTTTTTACTATCCTTTGCTCCCTCTGAGGATCTTGATATAACTTGTTGGCAATAAAAAGTGGTTGGTGGTCTGTTTGTATTTAATTATAGTGTGTGATATGTCAGCTGGATTTGCTGCAGATTGCCCTCATTCTAAGGAGAGAGATCCAGAGGGGCTATAGATTGTGTCTCTCACTAGCGCTGTCTTATATAGTTCAAACCTGGGAAAACATTGATTCAGAGTTGAAACAGAAGGGATTTCAAACAGTTAGAACCGATTTTGGACCCGTTTTGGTAAAACAGGTAGAACTCTTATGGACCAGTTTTTGCAATGGTTGGGTTTTGGTTTGGTCAAGCCTGGATTTGAGTTGAGATCAACCGACATGAGATGTGAGTTTGAACTGAAGACAAGTTAAGTTGGAGGTCCAGGAGTTGGACATAAGGGGACACAGGATCCACAGGTTTAGCTCAGATAGACAGACAGACAGAGACAGAGACAGAGACAGAGACAGAGACAGAGACAGAGACAGAGACAGACAGACAGACAGACAGACAGACAGACAGACAGACAGACAGACAGACAGACAGACAGACAGACAGACAGACAGACAGACAGACAGACAGACAGACAGACAGACAGACAGACAGACAGACAGACAGAGACAGAGAGACAGAGACCTACACGGTTCATCGGGCATGATATTAGGCTACACTATGTACAGTCAGTGTATAGGTCAGCAGGATCTGACTTTAGTTTAGACAAGGAGTAGCTATTATGAGTCGAATTCGGACAGGGGAGATACGAGCCTGGGCTGCAGACTGATCCCTGTGAAGTGTATGGATCTGAGAGAGATAGAGAGAAAGGGGGAGAAAACGATCTGATCATCCGCAGGCGGAATGGAAAGATAAACTGTGCCTGTCGCCTACACACTCTCCTCCTCTGATCTCTCTCTCTCTTTCTAGCGGCTACCTCCATTGCCCGCTCGCCTCTGTGGCTTTAAGGACCGTCATTCCAACAGCATGCACCTCATCGGGCAACTGGACCTGACTTTTCCCTCTGATTTCTGGGACATTGACTCTGTTGCCCAGCGGAGGGAGGGGGGCGGGGGGGGGGTCAACAACCCTCACCTCCCCCGGCCGCCCAGCTACTCCCCAGAGTTCCCATTAGCAGGTAATAGCCCCAGCCCTGGGGTGATGAGGATGAAAATGTCAGAGTGAGAGGGTTTAGGGCAAGGAGCAGTGGAAAACGAGGAGAAATGATGTCAGAGGAATCGCGACCACCGATTGGAGTGGAGATTCCAGAGGAGAGCCTATAAAACGGGGAAAGTCAACACCAGGAACAAGCAAAGGGAGGGAAAAGTTGGAACGTGAGAAATTCCAAGAACTTTTCAACATCCTCTCTCTCCTCCTGTGTGTGTATATGTGTGTGTTCCAGGCTGTCTATAACTAAAGGTGAGTACAATAGAACAAACAAGTACAATAGAATGAACGGGGCTCTCTGTGCACAAATGGGTGCTCAGACATGCATGGATATATGTATGCATAAATGCATGAATGTAGTGCAGGTGTGTACACTCTTAGAAAAAGGTGCTATCTAGAACCAAAAAGGGTTCTTTGGCTGTCCCTTAGGAGAACCCTTTGAAGAACACCTTTTGGTTCCAACTAGAACCCTTTTGGTTCCAGGTAGAACCATTTTGGGTTCCATGTAGAACCCTTTCCACAGAGGGTTCTGCATGGAACCCAAACGAGTTCTACCTGGAAACAAAAAAGGGTTCTAAATGGAAGCAAAAAGGGTTCTCCTATAGGGACAGCCGCAGAACCCTATTGGAACCCTTTTTTTCTAAGAGTGTATGTTCATCACACCTATGTGTATTTGTGCAGGTGTTCTTGAGAGATGTTGTTTATGTGTGCAGTATAGAATACAGTAGAATAATGATTAGTGAATGATGAGTGACAGTTTTGTTAAATAGTGGTTGTAGACCTTGCATAAGTTCACAATTAGTTTGAAAATGAGTTTGATCTTTGAATTGTATCTGTATTTTTGTGAATGGAAGAATTTGAGTGTCTTTGTGTGTGTGTAAAGAATGTTTGTGATGTATGCTAAAATTAGCTGATGTGGCTGGACAATACCCTTTGCCAGTCAAGTCTAAAACATACACTGTGAGAACCTTGGGGGAATTGAACACGACATGGTTTCAAACAGGACCGCTTGATTTTACAGTCTGAGAAAGGTGTTCCAAAAGGTATTCTATGGACCAATAGAGACATTTAGTTATTTTTACCAGCTTTTCAGTTGATTTACTGCTTGGTCATTTGGACCAGGATGCAAGTGCTCTCGGGGTGGACTGATAGACTGATACACTAGGTATAGATAGATATAGACTAGATAATGATGAGATATCCAGGTGTGGAACTATGTTTTTGCTTATTTTTAAAGTACATTTAATGATGGGAGTGTACAATTGCTCAAATCATGTGTATAATTGCTCAAATCCCACACATCATGTGTTATGGGTGTTTTCCATTGTTAAATTGGACCATCAAATGTTTCTCTCGTTAGCTCCAAAGGTTGGTTATGGCTATTGGAAGCCAGTGAGGGGTGTTGAAAGTTGGGACAGCAGCAGTGTGTTTGTTGTAGAGGGGTCCTACTGTTTTGGGTAGCTGTTTTGAGTAGTTTGGGGTTGTTTTGGGGTTGTTTTGGGTTGTTTTGGGGTATTAGTTGGACCCTTGTAGAGTGATAGGGATTGGAATAGTACATGTATGGTAAAAACAGTGTGAAAGGGTTTTAATACCCTATTGGTATTCGAAAATAGGAAATAGTTATTTGAATTCTACAGTGTTTTTATTTTATTTATTATTTTATTTAATCTTTATTTTGACAGGGAGTAATGCTGAGACCAAGGTCTCTTTTACAGATGAGCCCTGTATCATGCATACACATCAATACACATCAATGTACACTATACACATCAATATACATCAATATACACATCAATACACAAAAATCATATAAAACAAACACATTCTTCAATGAAAATGTCCTCAATCAGCCTTCTGAATTTCTCTGGAGGCACCAACTCTTCCAAATTTAGAGAGCTTTGGAGATTATTCCAGCTCTGCAAATTGTTTCAAATAAAGGGCGCAAAAAAACTAAAAGCAGATTTACCTAACTCAGTGGAGATCGAAAGGATCTCCAAAGTTATCCATCCCTGAGACCGGGTCTGATAGCTTGTGTTGAGTAGTAAGTGTTGGACAAAGGACGCATGTTAGCACCAGGTATAAACGGGGCTATTGTGTGGAGTATTAAGTGAGAATGGGTAGAGTAGTGTGTGTGTACATACGTGTATCTAGACAGTGTTCAGAAAGCTTGCCACTAGCAGTAGTAATAGTACATTGCCAAGTGTGTGTAGGGGAGAATGAGGATCAATAGTATACTTTTTTTATATGACGAACTATTTCTTTTTAAATACTTTTTTCAAAAGAAACATTGAATATGTAATAATAATAATAATATAATATGCCATTTAGCAGACGCTTTTATCCAAAGCGACTTACAGTCATGCGTGCATAATTTTTTTTGTGTATGGGTGGTCCCGGGGATCGAACCAACTACCTTGGCGTTACAAGCGCCGTGCTCTACCAGTGAGCTGGTTCTCCTCTTTTTGGCCATTTTCTGTTGTTTTGAAATGGAAAACTGAGCGGGTAGAGCATAACACGTCAACCCTGTTACCCATAACAATAGAAAAATTATTGTGAAGCTTGCATTCAATTGCCGCTTCCTGTTGCACACAACACGATTCCATTCCCACGTCAAATCAAATCAAATTTTATTTTATAGTAGACTTAACCGTGAAATGCTTACTTACGAGCCCTTTCCCAAAAATGCAGAGTTAAAAAGTAAGAAAATGAGCAAATAAAAATAGAAAATAGTAACACAATAAATAGCAATAACAAGGCTGTATACAATACCAGCACAGACAGAAGGGGTAAGTAACCCAGACACATCACAGGGGCTATAAAGCTGAAGCATCCATTTAGAACTTTTCCTCACCACCAAATGTGACCCACCACTTGGATTCGGTCCTATGTAGCAAAATTATTATTTTTTTATTTATTTTTTTACATTGGATAAAAGTAGAGACTCAGAGCTAGAAAATGTTACATCATACACTGCAGTTGAGGAACAATGGGAAAGTAATTCTGCTTTGAAAGTTGATAAACTAACCCCACTTCTGAGAATTTGACCCTTGAATGTTTTGGTACACCTCTTCATTGTCTACACCCATTTAACATTGTTCACACCCTCTTAAGCCCCACCAATCTCTTTAAGGATTCACATGTGAGGCCATGTGCTAAACAGAGTGAGTAGTGTAGTAAATAACCAAAGATTTCAAAACTAAAAGTAGTAGCCTACAATATGAAAAATAATCCAGGTAAAAATACACTTTATCTAGTCCTTGGACTATATCCTAATCTGACTTTGGTGTAGGTCAAGTTGTTCTTCACATTAGCGTCTCTGGTAAACACACACTATATCAAATACAATCGAAGTTTTTTTGTCACATGCACAGGATACAAAAGGTGTAAACAGTACAGTGAAATGGCAGTGGTGTAAGTAAAGATACTTTAAAGTAATACTTAAGTAGTTTTTTGGGGTATCTGTACTTTACTCACATTTTTATATTTTTGACAACTTTTACTTTTACTCCACTACATTCCTAAAGCAAATAATGTACTTTTTACAACATACTTTTGCCCTATCTGTAAAAAAAGTAATTAAAAAACAATTGCCGTCTGGTTTGCTTAATATAAGGAATGTGAAATGATTTATACTTTTACTTTTGATACTTAAGTATAATTTAACAATTACATTTACTTTTGATACTTAAGTATATTCAAAACCAAATACTTTTAGACTTTTACTCAAGTAGTAATTTAGTAGGTGACCTTTACTTTTACTTGAGTCATTTTCTATTATTTTTACTTTTAATCAAGTATGACAATTGGGTACTTTTTCCACCACTGTGAAATGGTTACTTGCATAGTAGCAATATCAAAAACAGAAAGTGTCCAGATAAAAATATTTTATAAATATTTTATCATTATTAGATGACGCTTACCTGACACACCTGTCTAAATTGATGGGTCACGTGAAGAAAATGCTATAACCACCCCCAAGCCACATCTAGCTAAGTGGATGGGTCACTATTGTCTAGACATGTACACATGTTCATGAAATACAATAGATGGCCATAATCACCCCCAGACACACCTGGCTAATTTGATGGGTCATGTAATAATCTGGCCGAAGTGGAGTCTTTTGTTTAGATAGCTAAACAATGAACCAGAATAATCCCAACTCTTACTACTACCAATACAAACATTGTCATACCTGTAGTATGAATCTGCATGCAGCTAAAGCTAACAAATTAGCTAGCTAACATTAGGCTATGACTAGCAATGCAAATTGATTTCTAATTCGAATAATATTACTACACAGATCATACACGTAACGTTAGCTACCGAGCCAGCAAGCTAATGTTTGCTAACTAACTAACAGTACACTTTAACTTGCAATAAAAATGTATCTAGACCTCTTACCCGTATACATGGATGAATGCTTCATGGCAGACTGGAACCATTTAACTCTGTTTTGTTTGTAGCTACATCTTGTTTGGCCAGCGTTGTGTCAAGTCACTCCGGTTCACATATTTTCAATTTAAGCCTACTAGAAAGTGTGTGCCCCTACGCTTGGAGGGAAGCAATAGCCATTCTGCTACCTAAGAATAGTAAACCCCCCTTTACTGGCTCAAATTGCCGACCAATCAGCCTGTTACCAACCCTTAGTAAACTTTGGGAAAAATTGTGTTTGACCAGATACAATGCTATTTTACAGTAAAAAAATTTGACCAGAAACTTTCAGCATGCTTACAGAGAAGGACGTTCAACAAGCACTTACACTAATGATTGATGATTGGCTGAGAGAAATTGATGATTCAAAGATTGTGGGGGCTGTTTTGTTAGACTTCAGTGTGGCTTTTGACATTATCGATCATAGTCTGCTGCTGGAAAAACGTATGACTTTACACCCCCTGCAATGTTGTGGATAAAGAGTTACATGTCTAAAAGAACACAGAGGGTGTTCTTTAATGGAAGCCTCTCCAACATAATCCAGGTAGAATCAGGAATTCCACAGGGCAGCTGTCTAGGCCCCTTACTTTTTTCAAGCTTTACTAATGATATGCCACTGGCCTTGAGTAAAGCCAGTGTGTCTATGTATGCAGATGACTCAACACTACACATGTCAGCTTCTACAGCGACTGAAATGACTGTAACACTTAACAAAGAGATGCAGTTAGTTTCAGAGTGGGTGGCAAGGAATAAGTTAGTCGTAAATATTTCTAAAACTAAAAGCATTGTATTTGGGAAAAATCCTTCACTAAACCCTAAACCTCAACTAAATATTTTAATAAATAATGTGGAAATTGAGCAAGTTGAGGGGACTAAACTGCTTGGAGTAACCCTGGATTGTAAACTGTCATGGTCAAAACATATTGATACAAAAGTAGCTAAAATGGGGAGAAGTCTGCCCATAATAAAGCGCTGCTTTACCTTCTTAACAACATTATCAACAAGGCAGGTCCTACAGGCCCTAGTTTTTTCGCACCTGGACTACTGTTCAGTCGTGTGGCCAGGTGCCACAAAAAGAGACTTACAATTTTTTACATTGTATAATATAGTGAACACATCAAAACTATGAAATAACACATATATAATTAAGTGTTAAACAAATCAAAATATATTTTATATTTCAAATAGCCACCCTTTGCCTTGATGACAGCTTTGCACACTCTTGGCATTCTCTCAACCAGCTTCATGAAGTAGTCACCTGGAATGCCTTTCAATTAACAGGTGTGCCTTCTTAAAAGTTAAGAAGTTATTAAAATATTAAGTTCTGCTTTTCTGATGTATCAAATGCTTATGTCATGCAATAAAATGCAAATTAATTACTTAAAAATCATACAATGTGATTTTCTGGATTTTTGTTTTAGATTCCGTCTCTCACAGTTGAAGTGTACCTATGATAAAAATTACAGACCTCTACATGTTTTGTATGTAGGAAAACCTGCAAAATCGGCAGTGTATCAAATACTTGTTCTCCCCACTGTATACAACATACTAGGCTCATCCATACTGCAAAGGCATCATCTAATGCCCAAGTGTTTTCCCCCACAATTCAGCCTAACTAAAATCTGTGCCACTCCATTTAGTATGATATGTTACTTAACGTTAGGTTACATTTAATTGGTGTACGTAAATCCGGGACACTGAAATTATTATGATACTGTAAGTTACATTAGGCATGACTTTAAAAGTCTAAACCGGGTGGGGGGAGGACACATATTTAACCTCTTATTTTTGTTGGCACAAACTACCTCCATACTTCCATTAATTTGTATGTCTTACCTTCAGACGAGTCCCATGATACTTGTGGGGGTCGTAGAGCAAAACGGAGAATGCCATCGTGTTTGTGAGAGTTTCCCCTTTCCACAGTGGCATATTAGTTTTGTAAGCCAAACCATCAGGGTGGATGGGCAGTCGTATAACCAAACGTCTAGCATCCCAAAGGTTGCGTGTTCAAATCACATCACAGACAGTTTTAGCTAATTAGCAACTTCGCAACTACTTACTATTTTTTAGCTTAGAATGTTAGCTAACCCTTCCCCTAATCCTAACCTTAACCCTTTAACCCTTATCTTAACCCTTACCTTAACCCCTAACCTAACGTTGCATATCATACTAAAGCAGTCAAACCTAATATTTGTTTTTGTATTTATTATGGAACCCTATTAGGGATGCCAAGTCAGCAGCTACTCTTCCTGGGGTCATGCACATTAAGGCAGTTTTATACAATTTAAAAACATTACAATACATTTCACGACAGATTTCACAACACATTAAGTGGGTGCCCTCAAGCCACTACCCTACTACCACATATCTACATATCTAATCCGTATGTACGTGTGTGTATAGTGCATATGTTATCGTGCATATTTGTGTGTCTGTGCCTGTGTGTGTGTCTCTTCACAATCCACGCTGTTCCATAAGATGTATTTTTAATCTGTTTTTTAAATCTGATTTTACTGCTTGCATGAGTTACTTGATGTGGAATAGAGTTCCATATAGTCATGGCTCTATGTAGTACTGTGCGCCTCCCATACTCTGTTCTGGACTTGGGGACAGTGAAAAAACCTTTGGTGACATGTCTTGTGGGGGTGTGCATGTGTGTCTGATCTGTGAGCTAGTAGTTTAAACAGACAGCTCGGTGCATTCAACATGTTAATACTTCTCACAAATACAAGTAGTGATGAAGTCAATCTCTCCTCCACTTTGAGTCAAGAGAGATTTATGTTAACTCTCAGTGTACATTTAAGGCCAATTGTAATTTTCCTAAGTCCCTCTTTGTGGCATCTGACCACACGACTGGACAGTAGTCCAGGTGCAACAAAACTAGGGCCTGTAGGACCTGCCTTGTTGATAGCGTGGTTAAGAAGGCAGAGCAGCGAATTATTATGGACAGACCTCTCCCCATCTTAGCTACTGTTGCATCAATATATGACTAGTTTCAGGAAAATATGCTATGTCGTGCGCCACTACTTCACAGGAGAGGCATTTGAACGTGAGTTTTTGTAATATCATGGCTGTTTTGAACAGACAGCTCGTCTTCTGGTAATATTACTTTCACAATACAGTATGAATAATCAACTTTTCTCCATCTTAATACGAAAAGATTTGTTAATTCGACAGTGGTTTAGGCCAATGTGAAATTCCAAGTCAGGCACTTGACCACACGCTGATTAGCGAGTAACAAATAGGCCTGTAGACCTCCTGATTGATGGTCGGTCAGAGCAGACGTTCGATTATTAACATGACTGTCCATTTGTACGTTCCCTTATTAACATGGCTTTTTAAGGAAATAGTATGTAGTGGCACAAAATATTGCTAAGTTCTAATTTGTAAACGTTCTTTTCAATTTAATGCGTGTTTTGCAAACGTTTTGGAAGCATACTAACTTTCAGTGCTTAAAACAACTTTAGCCATGCTGTAATCTAGCTAACATGTTATGATTGGTAGTAATATGTCTATGCCACGAAGACCATGGCAATTGCTAGTAACCAATGTTAGCTAGCTAGTTCGGATTAAACCTGATTGGTTAGCTATCTGCAGATTCATGCAAGGTAGTAACGTTATGAGTTGGGATTTTGGTTCATTGTTAGGGGTTATTGGTGTTAAAATACACTAGTTATACTATTTTGGACAACCAGGCTGCTGATGTCATGCAGCTTCTAGTTTTTGTGTTAATACTTTTTCATAACGACAACTACAAGTTTGATGTCGGACAACAATAGAATGCTCATGATGTCACTGCGACAACTATTGATAGACGTAGTATAAACCAGCCTTTAGTCTTGAAATTTTGGTTGTTTAGTACATGGCCACACGTGACTCCTTAAAGAGATGGGTGGGGCTAAGGCTTAAGAGGTTGTGAATGATGCTGAGTGGGTGTAGACAATTAAGAGCTCTCCAGTAGGTTTACCAAAACATTCAACTGCCATTTTCTCAAAAGTGAGTTTACAAATTTATCAACTTTCAAAGCAGAATTACTTTCCCATTGTTCCTCAATTGCAGTGTGTGATATACAATTTTCTAGCTCTGAGCCTCTACATTTATCTAATGTAAAAAACACAATTTCAAATTTAGCTACGAATCGAGGCGGTCGGTCACATATGTTTTGTCATGAGAGTTTACAATCCAAGGTTACTCTCTACCTCAACTTTCTCAATTTCCACATTATTCATTATAATATTTAGTTGAGGTTTAGGGTTTTGTGAATGATTTGTCCCAAATACAATGCTTTTAGTTTTTGAAATAATTAGGACTAACTAATTTCTTGCCACCCATTCTGAAATTGACTGCAGCTCCTTGTTAAGTGTTGCAGTGATTTAACTTGCAGTGGTAGCTGAAATGTATAGTGTTGAGTCATCAGCATACAGTACATATAGAGACAGGCTTTACTAAGAGCCAGTGACAGGTCATTAGTAAAAATTGAAAAAAGTAAGGGGCCTGGACAGCTGCCCTGGGGAATGCCTGATTCTACCTGGAGTATGTTGGAGAGGCTTCCATTAAAGAACACCCTCTGTGTTTTGTTACACAGAAAACTCTCGATCCACAATATAGCAGGGGATGTAAAGCCATAACACATACGTTTTTCCAGCAGCAGATTATGATTCGATAATGTCAAAAGCTGCACTGAAGTCTAACAAAACAGCTCCCACAATATTTGTATTATCAATTTCTCTCAGCCAATCATCAGTCATTTGTGTAAGTGTCGCCATACGTGTTGAATGCCCTTCCCTATAAGCGTGCTGAAAATCTGTTGATAATTTGTTTACTGTGAAATAGCATTGTATCTGGTCAAACACAACAGGCTAATTGGTTGGCTGTTTGAGCCAGTAAAGAGTGCTTTGCTATTCTTGGGCAGCGGAATAACTTTTGCTTCTCTCCAGGCCTGAGGGCACACACTTTCCCGTAGGATTGAAGAGATGGCAAATAGGAGTTACAATATCGTCTACTATCATCTTCAGTAATTTTCCATCCAAGTTGTCAGACCCAGGTGGCTTGTCATTGTTTATAGACAACAATAACGCTGCACTTGACACATTTATGAAATTGCTTATTCCAGTTACTAATAAATCAAATCAAATTTTATTTGTCACATGCGCCGAATAAAACAGGTGTAGACCTTACAGTGAAATGCTTACTTACAAACTCTTAACCAACAATGCAGTTTTAAGAAAAATAAATGTTAAGTAAAAAAAAAATATGTAAAAATAACAAATAATTAAAGAGCAGCAGTAAAATAACAGTAGCGAGGCTATATACAGGGGGTACCGGTACAGACTCAATGTGTGGGGGCACAGGTTAGTTGAGGTAATTGAGGTAATATGTACATGTAGGGAATGTTAAAGTGACTATGCACAGATAACAAAGAGAGAGTTTATTAAAAGAGGGGGGGGGGGGGGGGGGGGGGCTTCATCTGACACCGCCTGGTATAGAGGTCCTGGATGGCAGGAAGCTTGGCCCCAGTGATGTACTGGGCCGTACGCACTAACCTCTGTAGTGCCTTGTGGTCGGAAGCTGAGCAGTTGCCATACCAGGCGGTAATGCAGCCAGTTAGGATGCTCTCGATGGAGCAGCTGTAGAACTTATTGAGGATCTGATGACCCATGCTAAATCTTTTCAGTCTCCTGAGGGGGAATAGGCTTTGTCGTGCCTTCTTCATGACTGTCTTGGTGTGTTTGGACCATGTTAGTTTGTTGGTGACACCAAGGAACTTGAGTACAGGAGGGGACTGAGCACGCACCCCTGAGGGGCCCCTGTGTTGAGGATCAGATTGGCAGATATGTTGTTACCTACCCTTACCACCTGGGGGTGGCCCGTCAGGAAGTCCAGGATCCAGTTGCAGAGGGAGGTGTTTAGTCCCAGGGTCCTTAGCTTAGTGGTGAGCTTTGAGACCATTATGGTATTGATCGCTGAGCTGTAGTCAATGAAAAGCATTCTCACGTAGGTGTTCATTTTGTCCAGGTGGGAAAGGACAGTGTGGAGTGCAATGGAGATTGCATCATCTGTGGATCTGTTGGGAAGGTATGCAAATTGGAGTGGGTCTAGGGTTTCTGGGATAATGGTGTTGATGTGAGCCATGACCAGCCTTTCAAAGAACTTCATGGCTACAGACGTGAGTGCTATGGGTCGGTAGTCATTTAGGCAGGTTACCTTAGTGTTCTTGGGCACAGGGACTATGGTGGTCTGCTTGACACATGCTGGTATTACAGTTTCAGTCAGGGACAGGTTGAAAATGTCAGTGAAGACACTTTCCAATTGGTCAGTGCATGCTCAGAGTACACGTCCTGGTAATCCGTCTGGCCCTGCGGCCTTGTTAATGTTGACCTAATTAAAGGTCTTACTCTCATCGACTACGGAGAGCGTGATCACACAGTCGTCCGGAACAGCTGATGTGCTCATGCATGCTTCAGTGTTGCTTTTCTCGAAGCGAGCATAGATGTAATTTAGCTCGTCTGGTACGCTCGTGTCACTGGGCAGCTCGCAGCTGTGCTTCCCTTTGTAGTCTGTCATAGTTTGCAAGACCTGCCACATCCGACGAGTGTCGGAGCCGGTGTAGTACGATTCAATCTTAGTCCTGTATTGAAGTTTTTCCTGTTTGATGGTTCGTCGGAGGGCATAGCTCATTGAAGCTGCAGCTCTACCTTTTACCTCAGTGCGTATGTTGCCTGTAATCCATGGCTTCTGGTTGGGATATGTACGTATGGTCACTGTGGGGACGACGTCATCAATGCACTTATTGATGAAGCCAGTGACTGATGTGGTGTACTCCTCAATGCCATCGGAAGAATCCCGGACCATATTCCAGTCTGTGCTTGCAAAATAGTCCTGTAGCTTAGCATCTGCGTCATCTGACCACTTCTTTATTGACCGAGTCATCGGTGCTTCCTGCTTTAGTTTTTGCTTGTAAGCAGGAATCAGGAGGATAGAGTTATGGTCAGATTTGGCAAATGGAGGGTGAGGGAGAGCTTTGTACACTTCTCTGTGTGTGGCGTAAAAGTGGTCTAGAGTTTTTTCTCCCTCTGGATGCACATTTAACATGCTGGTAGAAATGAGGTAAAACAGATTTAAGTTTCCCTGCATTAAAGTCCCCGGCCACTAGGAACGCCGCCTCTGGATGAGCGTTTTCCTGTTTGCTTATGGCCTTATACAGCTCATTGAGTGCGGCCTTAGTGCCAGCATCGGTTTGTGATGGTAAATAGACAGCTACAAAAAATATAGATGAAAACTCTCTTGGTAAATAGTGTGTTCTACAGCTTATCAAGAGATACTCTACCTCAGGCGAGCAAAACCTAGAGACTTTCTTAATATTACATTTCATGCACAAGCTGTTGTTTACAAAAATACACAGACCGCCACCCCTTGTCTTACCGAAGGCAGCTGTTCTATCTTGCCGATGCAGTGTATATCCCGTCAGATGTATGTTATCTATGTCGTCATTCAGCCACGACTCGGTGAAACATAAGATATTACAGTTTTTAATATCCCGTTGGTAGGATAACCGTGATCGTAGTTACTTTATTTTGTTATCATATGATTGTACGTTGGCTAATAGGACTGATGGAAGAGGAAGATTACCCACTCGCCATCGGATCCTTACAAGCCACCCCGACCTACAGTACGTCCCCGATATCTCTGTCTCTTTCTCATGCGAATGACAGGGATTTGGGCCTTGTCGGATGTCTGAAGAAAATCCTTTGCGTCCGACTCTTAAAATCTTCGTCCAGTATGAGGTGAGTAATTGCTGTCCTGATATCCAGAAGCTCTTTTCGGTCATAAGAGAAGGTGGAAGAAACATTATGTACAAAATAAGTGACAAACAACACATAAAAAAACACACCATCTCCTCCGGCACCATTCCAATTAGCATGCACCCATTAAGAAAATGACTGTAAAAACGGATTAATCCCCTTCGATTGATGAGGAATTCAAAAATTGTATGGTTGAGAGCGATGAGGCAAAAGGTATGGCAAATGGGTCTGGCAGCACAACCGATTGGCAAACGTACTGCAAATTGAGAAATCATGTGACTAAACTAAATAAAATGAAGAAGAAACTATACTATGAAACAAAAATAAATGATATAAAGACTGTAGGTAAAAAGCTTTGGAGCACCTTAAATGAAATTCTGGACAAAAAGGCACACTTTGCTCCATCATTCATTGAATCAGATGGCTCATTCATCACAAAACCCACTGATTTTGCCAACTACTTTAATTATTTTGTTCATTGGCAAGATTAGCAAACTTAGGCATGACATGCCGGCAACAAACGCTGACACTACACATCCAACTATATTTGACCAAATTATGAAATACTTGTAATTTTGAATTCCGTAAAGTGAATGTGGAAGAGGTGAAAAAATCATTGTTGTCTATCAACAATGACAAGCCACCGGGGTCTGACAACTTGGATGGAAAATTACTGAGGACAATAGCAGACGATATTGCCACTCCTATTTGCCATATCGTCAATTTAAGCCTACTAGAAAGTGTGTGTCCTCAGGCCTGGAGGGAAGCAAAAGTAATTCCGCTACCTAAGAATAGTAATGCCCCCTTTACTGGCTCAAATAGCCAACCAATCAGCCTGTTACCAGCCCTTCGTGAACTTGGTGTTAGAGCAGATGCAATGCTATATTACAGTAAACAAATTGACAACAGTCTTTCAGCACGCTTATAGGGAAGAACATTCAACAAGTACAGCACTTACACAAATTACTGATGATTGGCTGAGAGAAATTGATGATAAAAACATTGTAAAACGTATGTGTTATGGCTTTACACCCCCTGCTATATTGTGGAGGGTGTTCTTTAATGGAAGCCTCTCAAACATATTCCAGGTAGAGTCAGGAATTCCCCAGGGCAGCTGTCTTGGTGCCTTACTTTTTTCAATCTTTACTAATGACATTCCACTGGCTTTGAGTAAAGCCAGTGTGTCTATGTATGCGAAGAGCTGCAGTTAGTTTCAGAATGGGTGGCAAGAAATAAGTTAGTCCTAAATATTTCAAAAACTAAAAGCATTGTATTTGGGACGAATCATTCACTAAACCCTAAACCTCAACTAAATATTGTAATGAATAATGTGGAAATTGAGCAAGTTCAGGTGTCTAAACTGATTGGAGTAGCCCTGGATTGTAAACTGTCATGGTCAAAACATATTGATAAAACAGTAGCTAAGATGGGGAGAAGTCTGTCCATAATAACGCGCTGCTCTGCCTTTTTAACAACACTATCAACAAGGCAGGTCCTACAGGCCCTAGTTTTGTCGTAACCTGGACTACTGTTCCTGTGGTCAGGTGCCACAAAGAGGGACTTTACAATTGGCTCAGAGCAGGGCAGAACGGCTGGCCCTTAAAAGTACACGGGAAGCTAAAATTAATGATATGCATGTCAATCTCTCATGGCTCAAAGTGGAGGAGAGATTGACTTCATCACTAATTGTTTTTGTAAGAAGTGTTGACAAGCTGAATTTACCGAGTTGTCTGTTTAAATTACTAGCACACAACTCGGATACCCATGCATACCCCACAAGACATGCAACCAGAGGTCTCTTCACAATCCCCAAGTCCAGAACAGACTATGGGAGGCACACAGTACTACATAGAGTCATGGAACTCTATTCCACATCAGGTAACTAATGCAAGCAGTATAATCATATTTTTAAAACAGGTAGAAATACACCTTATGGAACAGCGGGGACTGTTAAGAGACACACACACAGGCACAAACACATGCATACAAACACACAATAACATACGCACTATACAAAATATATAATATGTATAACTGCCTTAATTTTGCTGGACACCAGGAAGAGTAACTGCTGCCTTGGCAGCAGCTAATGGGGATCAATAATAAATACAAATACAAATACACTTTGTATTGCAGATATGTAGTAGTGTAATAATGTTACAGTGCATTCTGAAAGTATTCAGATCCCTTCATTTTTCCCACATTTGTTACGTTACAGCCTTATTCTAAAATTGATAAAATACTTATTTTCCACATCAATCTACATAACCCATTATGACAAAGCAAAAACAGGTTTTTGGAAATTTGGGGAAATGTATTAAAAATGTAAAACAGAAATACCTTATTTACATAAGTATTCAGACCTTTTGCTATGAGACTCGAAATTGAGCTCAGGTGGATCCTGTTTCCATTGATTATCCTTGAGATGTTTCTACAACTTGATTGGAGTCCACCTGTGGTAAATTCAATTGATTGGACATGACATGGAAAGGCACTCACCTGACTATATAGAAGAATGGCGCCGGAGAAGTTGGCTGCCGTTTTACAGCCCTCTAACCAATTCTACTATTATGTGTGTTTTTCCGTGTTATTTGTAATTTATTTTGTACATAATGTTTCTGCCATCATCTCTTATAACCAAAAAGAGCTTCTGGATATCAGGACAGCGATTACTCACCTCGTATTGGACGAAGATTTTTTTTCAACGAGGCGGCCGCAAAGGATATCCTACAGACACCCGACAAGGCCCAAATCCCCGTCATTTGCATGAGAAAGAGACGGAGATATCGTGGACGTAGGTCGGGGTGCCTTGTAAGGATCCGACGGCGAGCGAGTAAACTGCCTCTCCCATTAATCCTATTAGCCAATCTTCAATCATTTGAGAATAAATTGGATGACCTAAGATTACGGTTATCCTACCAACGGGACATAAAAAACTGTAATATCTTATGTTTCACCGAGTCGTGGCTGAACGACGACATGGACAACATACAGCTAGTGGGCTATACGCTACATCGGCAGGATAGAACGGCTGACTCCGGTAAGACAAGGGGTGGCGGTCTGTGTATATTTGTAAACAACAGCTGGTGCACAAAATCAAATACTAAGGAAGTCTCTAGGTTTTGCTCGCCTGAGGTAGAGCATCTTATGATAAGCTGTAGACCACACTATTTACCAAGAGAGTTTTCATCTATATTTTTCATAGCTGTCTATTTACCACCACAAACCAATGCTGGCATTAAGATTGCACTGAATGAGCTGTATAAGGCCATAAGTGAACAGGAAAACGCTCATCCAGAGGCAGCGCTCCTAGTGGCCGGGGACTTTAATGCAGGGAAACTTAAATCCGTTCTACCTCATTTCTACCAGCATGTTAAATGTGCAACCAGAGGGAAAAAAACTCTAGACCACCTTTACTCCACACACAGAGACACACACAAAGCTCTCCCTCGCCCTCCATTAGGCAAATCTGACCATAACTCTATCCTCCTGATTCCTGCTTATAAGCAAAAACTAAAGCAGGAAGCACCAGTGACTCGGTTAATAAAAAAGTGGTCAGATGACGCAGATGCTAAGCTACAGGACTGTTTTGCTAGCACAGACTGGAACATGTTCCGGGATTCTTCAGATAGCATTGAGGAGTACACCACATCAGTCACTGGCTTCATCAATAAGTGCATTGATGATGTCGTCCCCACAGTGACCGTACGTACATACCCCAACCAGAAGCCATGGATTACAGGAAACATCCGCACTGAGCTAAAGGGTAGAGCTGCCGCTTTCAAGGAGCGGGACTCTAACCCGGACGCTTATAAGAAATCCCGCTATGCCCTCCGACGAACCATCAAACAGGCAAAGAGTCAATACAGGACTAAGATTGAATCGTACTACACTGGCTCTGACGCTCGTCGGATGTGGCAGGGCTTGAAAACTATTACAGACTACAAAGGGAAGCACAGCCGCGAGCTTCCCAGTGACACAAGCCTACCAGACGAGCTAAACCACTTCTATGCTCGCTTCGAGGCAAGCAACACTGAAGCATACATGAGAGCACCAGCTGTTCCGGATGACTATGTGATCACGCTCTCCGTAGCCGATGTGAGTAAGACTTTTAAGCAGGTCAACATTCACAAGGCAGCAGGGCCAGACGGATTACCAGGACGTGTACTCCGAGCATGTGCTGACCAACTGGCAAGTGTCTTCACTGACATTTTCAACATGTCCCTGACTGAGTCTGTAATACCAACATGTTTCCAGCAGACCACCATAGTCCCTGTGCCCAAGGACACTAAGATAACCTGCCTAAATGACTACCGACCCGTAGCACTGACGTCTGTAGCCATGAAGTGTTTGAAAGCCTGGTCATGGCTCACATCAACACCATTATCCCAGAAACCCTAGACCCACTCCAATTTGCATACCGCCCCAACAGATCCACAGATGATGCAATCTCTATTGCACTCCACACTGCCCTTTCCCACCTGGACAAGAGGAACACCTACGTGAGAATGATATTCATTGACTACAGCTCAGCATTCAACACCATAATGCCCTCAAAGCTCATCACTAAGCTAAGGATCGTTGGACTAAACACCTCCCTCTGCAACTGGATCCTGGACTTCCTGACTGGCCGCCCCAAGGTGGTAAGGGTAGGTAACAACACATCTGCCACACTGATCCACAACACGGGGGCCCCTCAGGGGTGCATGCTCAGTCCCCTCCTGTAGTCCCTGTTCACCCATGACTGCATGGCCAGGCACGACTCCAACACCATCATTAAGTTTGCAGACGACACAACAGTGGTAGACCTGATTACCGACAACGATGAGACAGCCTATAGGGAGGAGGTCAGAGACCTGGCCGTGTGGTGCCAGGATAACAACCTCTCCCTCAAAGTGACCAAGACAAAGGAGATGATTGTGGACTACAGGAAAAAAAAGAGGACTGAGCACGCCCCCATTCTCATCGACGGGGCTGTAGTGGAACAGGTTGAGAGCTTCAAGTTCCTTGGTGTCCACATCACCAACAAACTATCATGGTCCAAACACACCAAGACAGTCGTGAAGAGGGCACGACAAAGCCTATTCCTCCTCAGGAGACTGAAAAGATTTGGCATGGGTCCTCAGATTCTCAAAAAATCTACAGCTGCACCATTGAGAGCATCCTGGCTGGTTGCATCACCGCCTGGTATGGCAACTGCTTGGCCTCCGACCGCAAGGCACTACAGAGGGTAGTGCGTACAGCCCAGTACATCACTGGGGCCAAGCTTCCTTCCATCCAGGACCTCTATACCAGGCGGTGTCAGAGGAAGGCCCTAAAAATTGTCAAAGACTCCAGCCACCCTAGTCATAGACTGTTCTCTCTGCTACAGCACGGCAAGCGGTACCGGAGTGCCAAGTCTAGGTCCAAAAGACTTCTCAACAGCTTCTACCCCCAAGCCATAAGACTCCTGAACAGCTAATCATGGCTACCCGGACTATTTGCACTGCCTCCCACCCCATCCTTTTTACGCTGCTGCTACTCTGTTAATTATTTATGTATAGTCACTTTAACTCTACCCACATGTACATATTACTTCAACTACCTCAACTAGCCGTTGCCCCCGCACATTGACTCTTCACCGGTACCCCCCTGTATATAAAGCCTCCCTACTGTTATTTTATTTTACTTCTGCTCTTTTTTTCTCAACACTTTTTTGTTGTTTTATTTTACTTTTTTATAAAAAATAAATGCACTGTTGGTTAAGGGCTATAATTAAGCATTTCACTGTAATGTCTGCACCTGTTGTATTCAGCGCATGTGGCCAATAAAATCTGATTTGATTTGATTTTGATTTGATATAAGGTCCCAGAGCAAATACCAAGCCATGAAGTCGAAAGAATTGTCCGTAGAGCTCCGAGACAGTATTGTGTCGAGGCACAGATCTGGGGAAGGGTACCAGAACATGTCTGCAGCATTGAAGGTCCCCAAGAACACATTGGCCTCAATTTTTAAATGGAAGAAGTTTGGAACCACCAACAATCTTCCTAGTGCTGGCAGCCTGGCCAAACTAAGCAATCGGGGGAGAAGGGCTTTGGTAAGGGAGGTGACCAAGAATCTGATGGTCACTCTGACAGAGCTCCAGAGTTCCTCTGTGGAGATAGGAGAACCTTCCAGAAAGACAACCATCTCTGCAGCACTCCACCTATCAGGCCTTTATGGTAGAGTGACCAGACGGAAGCCATTCCTCAGTAAAAGGCACATGACAGCCCGCTTTGAGTTTGCCAAACGGCACCTAAAGGACTCTCAGACCATGAGAAACAAGATTCTCTGGTCTGATGAAACCAAGATTCAACTCTTTGGCCTGAATGCCAAGTGTCACGTCTGCAGGAAACCTGGCACCATCCCTACGGTGAAGCATGGTGGTGGCAGCAACATGCTGTGGGGATGTTTTTCAGTGGCAGGGACTGGGAGACCAGTCAGGATCAAGGGAAAGATGAACGGAGCAAAGTACAGAGAGATCCTTGATGGAAACCTGCTCCAGAGCGCTCAGGACCTCAGACTGGGGTGAAGTTTGACCTTCCAACAGGACAACGACCCTAAGCACACAGCCAAGACAACGTAGGAGTGGCTTCGGGACAAGTCTCTGAATGTCCTTGAGTGGCCCAGCCAGAGCCCGGACTTGAACCCGATCGAACATCTCTGGAGAGACCTGAAAATAGCTGGGCAGCGATGCTCCCCATCCAACCTGACAGAGCTTGAAAGGATCTGCAGAGAAGAATGGGAGAAACTCCCCAAATACAGGTGTGCCAAGCTTGTAGTGTCATACCCAGGAAGACTCGAGGCTATAATCGCTGCCAAAGGTGCTTCAACAAAGTACTGAGTAAAGGGTCTGAATACTTATATAAATGTAATATTTCCGTTTTTTGTTTGTAAATTTTTTCAAAGATGTCTAAAAACCTGTTTTTGCTTTGTCATTGTGCGGTATTGTTTGTAGATTGATGAGGAACAAGGCAGTAAAGGCAGTTAGAATAAGGCAGTAAAGTAACAAAATGTGGAAAAAGTGAAGGGGTCTGAATACTTTCTGAATGCACTGTATATGATGTACTGTTTTATCTTTTGTTTTATATGAAATGTAAGTGCCTTAATGTGTTTGGACCCCAGGAAGAGTAGATGCTGCCTTGGCAACAGCTAATGGGGATTCTTAATAAACACAAATACACTCCCACCAGGCCAGAGCGGCGTCCAGCTACTGGAGTAGAAGAGACAGAGAAAGTAGGTGGGCGTTGATTCCCATGTAGCATGTGTTAGTTCGCTACTGATTTGCTAAGAGTAGCCACTTCGCCCCTGTAGTCCTCTGCAAGCAAACAGTTGCTACATTGAAAATCCGGACGGTCCACATTGTCCCGGAATAGAGCAAAATAAACACAGCTCCTGCAGCGTTGAAAACATTAGTTAGTGACCTCCATTTGAAACTACAGACTAGCTTGGCTAGCTAGGCTAGCTGGGCTTCCATGTCTCTCTTCTTGACAGGAATTTACTAAAAGTTTGCTATAAGCTACAATGTGTTCACAATTACAGCCCGCACCCCGCCTCCCGAAGGCGAGTGAAATGGCATATACACAAGCAACACACACCCGAGTCACACACCAGTATGTCAAACAGAGAGAAAGCGGAGGACTTGTTCACTTGATTTAAAATTGCTACATGTTCTCTGCGCCCTATGGCTTAATCTGTAGAATTGCAAGAAATTAGCAAGAAAAACTCGCTTTGGGCCCCCAAAAGGCTAGGAATGGCTCTGAACGTAAGTCTCTGGTGAGAGTTTGAAGTATAAAGTGATAACAGATAAGTGACTATTAAAACCATGTACAGTATGTATGGGCGGCAGGTAGCTTAGTGGTTAAGAGCGTTGTGCCAGTAACCGAAAGGTCGCTGGTTCAAATCCCCGAGCCGACTAGGTGAAAATCTGGCGATGTGCCCTTGAGCAAGGCACTTAACCCTAATTGCTCCTGTAAGTCGCTCTGGATAAGAGCATCTGCTAAATGACTAAAATTTAATGTATCAGGCTTGTGGTCAGTTCTATCTCAAGTCAGTCAATTCACAAAGTAAACTGAAATTCCAATTCTAATAAAAAATTATCTTCATCATTACAATAGGAATTTCAGTTCTTGAATTGATTTAATTCAGATGAAATTGACACCACACCCTGGTAAGTATGTAGAACTATTCTAAAATTCACAACAGGAGCACACATGCGTTGTCATGGTTCTAGTGTTATTACACATAGTAACCAGAAGGGGGCAGGATAGACCAAACTGGCCTATGATGGAACCACCTCCACGCAATTCCCAGGAGACACCACCCCTGTGTGATCCAGTAGCTGAAGAGATCAGTGATACCGGATAGGTGAGACACAGACAGACAGTTGGCATGTGTATATTGAACTAAGTCCCATGTTGCTCAGTTGGTAGAGCATGGTGTTTGCAACGCCAGGGTTGTGGGTTTGATTCCCACGGGGAATAGGATTTTTTTTTACATACCCTGTTACAGAGGTCCCTTGTTACTTTTGTCCCCACTCTCCCCTATAGTCCCAACAAGATGTGCTTCTTTCCATAGCAGAGTCAGCTGAGGGACTAGCCCGGTCACTGATCCAGGCTAGGGTTAGGGGAGACTGGGGTTGGCTGTTACATCCTGTGGTCATGTGTTTGTGTAAAGGGAGGGGATGAGGTGTGTCCGGGTCCACGTCCACCCCATTCTCACATTCAGGGCGGCGAGCCGTGCCGAGCTCCCAGTATTTTCACAGATGGAGGCTGGGTAAAGGTAAATACCCGGGCCCTATATCGCAGTAATCCCAAAACGCCCAGTGTGTCTGCGTCTGACATCGTGGAGAGGGGTACACACAGACAGTACACGCACGCACGCACACACACACACACAGAGAGAGAAACACTACTGACTTCATAATTAGTGTATCCTGGTGTGTGAATGTGTTAGTTTTTTTAATCGCTTTGGTACTATTTTCACAAGTATGTGGGGAATTTCAAAAACTTAGTGCAAAACTCCAAACTGGTAACACTTGTAATGTAGCATTCAAAACCTTTGCATGCAAAAATCATTGCATGCCTCATCCATGGCCTGAAGGAGGGTGGTAAGCTAATGGGGATGACAATCATACATCTTCCACATATATTGTAATTGTGTATTGCAGGGATCTGTAGCTCAATTGGTAGAGCATGGCACTTGTAACGCCAGGGTAGTGGGTTTGATCCCCGGGACCACCCACACGTAAAAATGTATGCACACGTGACTGTAAGTTGCTTTGGATAAAAGCGTCTGCTAAATGGCATATTATTATCAACTACATTCCGTTTTTTGATGGTCGGGGGGGGGGACGGACGACATAATTACAAATAATTTGTAGACTGCAAATTGATCGCAAGAAGCACAAACAGATTTAACATTTGACTAAAGCGTAATAATTTCAAACCTTGCTTACATTTGTAAATGATCACGTCTCTCTATTATGTGTGAGAATACCTTGGAACAGATTTCCCAAATTAAAATCACTTGGAGCTGATTTCCTGGTGTTTGTACAGTGTTGCATGTCCAACAATAAAACATATATATATGTTTTTACTTGGGGGGCCAAATAAAACCACATTTGGCCCTTGGGCCACCAGTTGGGGAACCCTGGTGTATTTTACAGTATTGTATTGTAGTTATGTATTGTAGTGGTCCTGTATGAGGTTCAGTTCATAAGAGCATGGCACTAGCAACTTCATTTTGGACCCATGTTTACTGTACAGGGGATGCATTTCTTGCTTGTTTTGGGCTTTCTGAATTCTATAGGTTTACCAAACATTTAAGTGATCATCAATTAAGAGCAGTCGGATTAAGTAATAGTAAAATGTATTTTAACAAAAGAGAAAATAATCATATCTAAAGTATCGTGAACATTGTATTGTGAAAGGCAATTATTTTATATGAACATGTATTGCAATGTGAAAGATGTATTTCTAGATACGTTTGGTGAAAAAGTGACTGTATGATTTTGTGATTGTTTTGAAACAAGAAAACTTCCTTTTTGATGATCGGTTTTGAGTTTTGTACTAAGATTTGTGAAAATGTAACACATACTTTAGCAAATTGCACCAAAGCGATAAAAAAACTAAGTGAGAACTATGTATGGGACATACTGCTTAAATGTGTATAAAGTGTGTATTGTATGCTTGTGTTGGAGTTAATGAAATTGTATGTGACAACTATTATTGTTATTTGTGAATATGTTACAACGTTATAGCTTTTATTTCATGTTCTGTACACTGTAAAGTGCAGATGTGTATGTCTGATGCTGATCTGTGTGTGTGTGTGTTTCAGATGCTGGGGTGCGGTTGTGTGCTTCTCTCCTGTCTCCTGACGGTGACTCTGTTCCACTACAGTGTAGACAGCCTTCACCTCACCCAGGAGAGCCCAGAGGTGAGATCAGGATACTGTGTGTGTGTGTGTTATATGGGTTCACCTGGTCACACATCAGTTCCATGTATCAATAACTACTGTATAACTGGGGGCAAGTGACCTGACCAGGAACAACCCCTGACCCTGACCCTGAACATAATAATATAATAGAATTGTAGAACTCTCCTAGCGCCTGCGTGGTCTAGACTTGGGTTCAAATAGTATCAAGCTGTGCTTCATTGAGCTTGCGTGGTGCAATGACACGCATGGAATAGTCCCAAAAGTGCAAACTAAGTCCATCTGGCATGCAGGCTTAAGCAAAACACTCAAGGTATTTGAAAGAAGGCAAATTCTATTGGAACCCAGGTGTGGTGTGCTCCTCGTTCCCACCCCAGGATAGTAAACTGGCTGAGGGGAGGAGCTCCCCCCTTCCCCTTAGCCCTTGATCTTCGTTGTTTGCAGATCTGTAAGGTAGAAGTAATATGGTGGAAGCGCCATCATTACACTGCTTATAACTATCCAGACCGTTCCGATCTACAAACACTGAAGGGGTGAAGGGTTAGGGCCAAGGGGAAGGTGCAGGGAGCAACCTTGATCCAGCTGAGTAAGTGCTGTTAGTGAGTGAGTGAGTGAGTGAGTGAGTGAGTGAGTGGGGTCACTCACGCACGCAGAGTGAGGGAGGTCCAGGCTGAAGAGTTGGGGAAGGTATCTGCATGGCCACGGCCGGTGGTGGCTGTGTTTATTCTGGCTTTCCTCGGGATGGTCAGAAATGCTTCTCTCCCTGATCTGATTATGTGGAACGAAATGGCGAGATGACGGTCTGTCATCGCCGCTGTGGCGCTGCCTGGGCTGAGCTATAAATACCACCCGCCGCTGTTCCCAGGAGAGGCAGAAACAACAGCCACGTCAGAGAGGGACAAGGGAGGGGGAACACTGGGACATTCTGTCTGTCTATATATCTGTCTGTCTGCCTTCTTGGCTCCCTGTCTGTCTGTCTGTTTGCCTGCTTAGCTATCTGTCTGTCAACATGCTAGCATATACTATAGACTTCCAGTCATTGCGCTAATTCTAGTTAGCAATTGCGCTAGCGCTAGTTGGCAACTTACTTCAAACTGCACACAGAGACATAAACATGGTATCCACAAGTTCATCTGACTCTGGGGAAGTAGATAAAATCCTTAAGTATCCCTTTAAGTATACCACAAAGAAAAAAATTGTGTGACAGCTAACGCTAATGAGAGCATTATCTTGGCTAACCATCCACTTTGACCTTGTGGTAGAAGTTCCTTTAGACCTCATTATGTTCTCCCATTGTTGACTTCCAACCTAGTATTAGAAGTTCCTATTGACTTTCTGTGTTTTCCCGTTGTTGTTTTTGTTGTAGTACCTGGACCCGGTGGTTCAGGAGGAGTCAGGCCTGCAGGCCCGGTCCAGTGAGCAAAAAGCAGCAGGGGCTTTGACGGCCAAGTTGCTACTACTTGACCACCTGGACCGCCTGGAGAATGACGTCATCGATACCAAGATGAAGAGGAGCTTCCCAGGGTCCAACACTCCACTGGACCGCCTCTCCATCAGCACCATGGACCCTAAGGGCTCCAAGCAGAGGTAGGTACTAACCACTTAGAGAGAGAGACTACTTTTGATGCTATTTATTGAGACATCATCAGTGAAGCACTTCCATACTCCACCCTGATGCACACACATGAACAGTCATACACACATATACTTATTGGGGCAGTTTCCCGGGACACAGAATATTAATGGGGCATTCACATGCTTGTGGGAAGTTGGAAACTGGGAAGATGGAAGTCATGATTCTGCTCAAGTGGTTTTGAAGTCGGAACAATTCTTCAACCAATAACATTTTAGCTAGCTTGCTTAAAATTGACAATAGTCAAACTAGATACATGATCCATATTGATTTGATTTGTTGTCATCTTTTGGTTGAAAAGATGAAAGGTCACTGGTGAAACGTCAAAGCGCGGCAACTCAGGTAAAAGCATTTTCTCTGAGTTTCCCACCTGTAATTATGACTTGGAGGGTCGTTCAAGTGAAACTTTCCAGTCGGAACTACAAACCTCTGATGACTCCGATAGCATGTGAACGCTCCATTAGCCTAATCCTGGAAAGCATTTTCAATAGAGATTCTCCATTGAACCTGCTTTTTAGTCCAGGGCTAGGCTTAATCTGTGTCTAGGAAACTGCCCCTTGACTGCTATGAGGGATAATGCCATCCTATCGTGGCGTTTTTGTAACATACTAAGTGCACAGCAGACAGAGAAAAACAACATGAATGTCAACCTATCTGAATCAACTTTAAGTGAATTACATCATCAAGTCAGCCGGTCCACAATGGCCCAAAATCTCATTAGCAAGATGCATAAATAGAACATTAACAGTTCATTGTCTTGGATCTCTCTGTTAGAAGGTCTGCTTTTCCTAAATGAGGAAAGACATATACATCTCTTCTCAACTCTTACTTATTACTTAACAACATTACATCTATCATACCTTATCTTTCTATCGTAGCCCAAACACTGGCCATTTTGATTGGCCGAGGGTCAAAACACTGGCCACTTTTTTAATTGGCTGTAGCCTACACACAGGCAGCTTTGATTGATTGAAGGTCAAACAATTTGGGATTTTCAACACATTAATGTTTCTTATAAAAAGAAGAAGTGATGCAGTCAGTCTCTCCTCAACTCTTAGCCAAGAGAGACTGGCATGCATAGTATTTATATCAGCCCTCTGATTACAATGAAGAGCAAGACGTGCCGCTCTGTTTTGGGCCAGCTGCAGCTTAACTAGGTCTTTCCTTGCAGCACTGGACCACACGACTGGGCAATAATCAAGATGAGACAAAACTAGAGCCTGCAGAACTTGCTTTTTGGAGTGTGGTGTCAAAAAAGCAGAGCATCTCTTTATTACGGACAGACCTCTCCCCATCTTTACAACCATTTAATCTATATGTTTTGACCATGATAGTTTACAATCGAAGGTAACGCCAAGTCATTTAGTCTCCTCAACTTGTTCAACAGCCACACCATTCATTACCAGATTCAGCTGAGGTCTAGAACTTAGGGAATGATTTGTACCAAATACAATGCTCTTAGTTTTAGAGATGTTCAGGACCAGTTTATTAGTGGCCACCCATTCCAAAACAGACTGCAACTCTTTGTTAAGGGTTTCGGTGACTTCATTAGCTGTGGTTGCTGATGCGTATATGGTTCAATCATCAGCATACATGGACACACATGCTTTGTTTAATGCCAGTGGCAGGTCATTGGTAAAAATAGAAAAGAGTAGAGGGCCTAGAGAGCTGCCCTGTGGTACACCACACTTTGGCATTAGAGAAGCTTCCATTAAAGAAAGCTCTTTGAGTTATATTAGATAGATAGCTCTGAATCCACGATATGGTAGAGGTTGAAAAGCCATAACACATACGTTTTTTCAACAACAGGTTATGGTCAATAATATCAAAGGCTGCACAGAAATATAACAGTACAGCTCCTAAAATCTTATTATTATCAATTTCTTTCACAGAGAAATAGCATTGTATTTGGTCAAACACCATTTTTTCCAACAGTTTGCTAAGAGCTGGCAGCAAGCTTATAGGTCTACTGTTAGAACCAGTAAAGGCCGCTTCACCATTCTTGGGTAGCGGAATTACTTTGGCTTCCCTCCAGTCCTGAGGACAAAGACTTTCCTCTAGGCTCAGATTAAAGATATGACAGAGAGGAGTGGCTACAGAGTCAGCTACCATCCTCAGTAGTTTTCCATCTAAGTTGTTAATGCCAGGAGGTTTGTCTTTATTGATCGATAACAAACAATTTTCCACCTCTCCCACACTAACTTTACAAAATTCTAACTTGCAATGCTTTTCTTTCATTATTTGTTTTTTTTATGCATGAATACGATGGCTCACTGTTCATTGTTGGTATTTCCTGCCTAAGTTTGCCATCAGGTGCTCATGTCAGATGACAACCGTTGTCATAACAGAGGTAGCAGGTTGCATTATGACTGTACTGATGTAAGTAGCAGGTTGCATTATGACTGCAACCTTCCTATTTCAGTGCATGGTAGACTAAATGTCAAAGGGAAACAACACTGTCATATGCATTTAATAGTGAAGTATTCAATTAGAATGAAAAAACAACGTCATTGTCCACTCAATGTGAACATTTGGCTTCAGCTTCACCACATAAAATAGACATTAAAAAAGTTTATTTACCAGGTCATGCAATGTAATGTAATCACATTTTTTGCCAAGAGTGTGATTCAGTAAACACAAATAAAGCTGATTTGAAATCCATTTTCAATTTGCAAGTTTATTCAAATTAGATTGACGATAAATTTAAATAATGTTCTAAATGGAATATTCATATGTAAAATATCCACTAGGATTAGACTGTTACACATACAGCCAGTTTCCCAGACACAGATTAAGTTCAGTCCAGGACTGAAAAGCATTCTCAATGGAGATTCTCCATTCAAAGAGCTTTTTAGTCTAGGACCAGGTTTAGTTAATCTGTATCTGGGAAACACCCGGCCCATAGGATAAGTGAAAGGTAAATGGTGACGGTTTATTTCCTCCATCTCCCCCAACAGGAAAGTTGTTGAACTGCCACGGAGGCGAGTGAGTGTTCCTATTGACCGGATCGGAGTGGGCCGTCTACCTAGCGGCCGAGGGTAAACCCTCCCCCCATCCACCCATCCCCTTACCTGGACAGGTAAAGGACAAACCCACAGAGGTGTACACAGGGTCATGTTCATTAGGGCATGCAACAGTTTTAAAATGTAAATGTAAATGTAAATGTATTGCAACAGAAAAAATAGGGTTTCTTAATGGACAAGCCTTGGTAGTCCCTCCCTGTTTCAATCTGTTTCCTTCCGTTTGGTGCCTAATGAACACGACCCAGTTTTACCGCACACCATTATATACTGTACACTACAGTGTAATGTGAATGACTTACAACATAGGGCCATGTGACCTGACCAGGAACAACTCTGGGCCCTAATAATGGGCTATAAGGAGGAGCAGGTCACAAGGTCAGGAAAAACATGGCCATTCTTATAAATAGTGTAGCTACAAATAACTCTACAGTGGATCAGATCAGAAATAACTTATTCCTACAACAATTTTTTAGAAGACATGACATTGAAGACCACCCAAGGTAATCTGTGTCTATTTTCTCAATTTCTCACAGGGGATTCCACCACAGGTAGAAGATGCATGGAAAGCACATCAACACCCCACGACCACTCCTCTTGACCTACCAACCCCCACCTCACCCCCATCAACCTACATACATACACTATGGCACAAATCACTTCCTCGTTATAGTTCTAATGTAATGTAAGCTATCCCCCCTTCCTCCCCACTTCTGTTCCCCATACAGTGTGGGAACGTCCTACAAAAAGCACATCACTACCATAGAAACACACTTATTTACCCATAATGCCTGTGGGCGCTTTTGCCTTTTTTGCTCGTTTGTAGTACACGCACACATGGTCTGTCTGTTCACTTTGACTGAAGGCTGACTGGGTGGCAATGGCCTTGACATTAAAAACAGATTATAAGACAACTGACTCAAGTGTTTTACTCTCATGGTATAGGTTTGCATTGGTGTTGTGATTGCTAATTGCTGACAGTACAGTTTACACACATACTTAAAGAAGACAGAGTAGAGTTGAATTGATTCTATTTGAATTCACAATTGATTAGATTTGAATTCACATTGTTGAAAGCACATGGACATTGTTAAATAGTCAATTCCACCGCAAAAAAATGTAATATGACACCAATACCAGTAGCTATAGTCTGAGAGGGATCAAGAAGAACAGAACCTCATTAACAGCGTTACAATGCCTTCTCCAAAAAGGTGTTTCTTTCGTTGTCAGTTGTATCATTCATGATAATGTCAAGGAAATACAAAATAATAATCCAATCAAATCAAATCCAATTTTATTGGTCACATGCGCCGAATACAACAGGTGCAGACATTACATTGAAATGCTTACTTACAGCCCTTAACCAACAGTGCATTTATTTTTAACAAAAAAAGTAAAAATAAAACAACAACAAAAAAAGTGTTGAGAAAAAAAAGAGCAGAAGTAAAATAAAATAACAGTAGGGAGACTATATATACAGGGGGGTACCGGTGCAGAGTCAATGTGTGGGGGCACCGGCTAGTTGAGGTAGTTGAAGTAATATGTACATGTGGGTAGAGTTAAAGTGACTATGCATAAATAATTAACATAGTAGCAGCAGCGTAAAAAGGATGGGGTGGGAGGCAGTGCAAATAGTCCGGGTAGCCATGATTAGCTGTTCAGGAGTCTTATGGCTTGGGGGTAGAAGCTGTTGAGAAGTCTTTTGGACCTAGACTTGGCACTCCGGTACCGCTTGCCGTGCTGTAGCAGAGAGAACAGTCTATGACTAGGGTGGCTGGAGTCTTTGACAATTTTGAGGGCCTTCCTCTGACACCGCCTGGTATAGAGGTCCTGGATGGCAGGAAGCTTGGCCCCAGTGATGTACTGGGCCGTACGCACTACCCTCTGTAGTGCCTTGCGGTCGGAGGCCAAGCAGTTGCCATACCAGGCGGTGATGCAACCAGTCAGGATGCTCTCGATGGTGCAGCTGTATAATTTTCTGAGGATCTGAGGACCCATGCCAAATCTTTTCAGTCTCCTGAGGGGGAATAGGCTTTGTCGTGCCCTCTTCACGGCTGTCTTGGTGTGTTTGGACCATGATGGTTCGTTGGTGATGTGGACACCAAGGAACTTGAAGCTCTCAACCTGTTCCACTACAGCCCCGTCGATGAGAATGGGGGCGTGCTCAGTCCTTTTTTTTTCCTGTAGTCCACAATAATCTCCTTTGTCTTGGTCACGTTGAGGGAGAGGTTGTCGTCCTGGCACCACACGGCCAGGTCTCTGACCTCCTCCCTATAGGCTGTCTCATCGTTGTCGGTGATCAGGCCTACCACTGTTGTGTCGTCGGCAAACTTAATGATGGTTTTGGAGTCGTGCCTGGCCATGCAGTCATGGGTCAACAGAGAGTACAGGAGGGGACTGAGCACGCACCCCTGAGGGGCCCCCGTGTTGAGGATCAGTGTGGCAGATGTGTTGTTACCTACCCTTACCACCTGGGGGCGTTCCGTCAGGAAGTCCAGGATCCAGTTGCAGAGGGAGGTGTTTAGTCCCAGGATCCTTAGCTTAGTGATGAGCTTAGAGGGCACTATGGTGTTGAATGCTGAGCTGTAGTCAATGAATAGCATTCTCACGTAGGTGTTCCTCTTGTCCAGGTGGGAAAGGGCAGTGTGGAGTGCAATAGAGATTGCATCATCTGTGGATCTGTTGGGGCGGTATGCAAATTGGAGTGGGTCTAGGGTTTCTGGGATAATGCTGTTGATGTGAGCCATGACCAGCCTTTCAAAGCACTTCATGGCTACAGACGTCAGTGCTACGGGTCGGTAGTCATTTAGGCAGGTTATCTTAGAGTCCTTGGGCACAGGGACTATGGTGGTCTGCTTGAAACATGTTGGTATTACAGACTCAGTCAGGGACATGTTGAAAATGTCAGTGAAGACACTTGCCAGTTGGTCAGCACATGCTCGGAGTACACGTCCTGGTAATCCGTCTGGCCCTGCGGCCTTGTGAATGTTGACCTGCTTAAAAGTCTTACTCACATCGGCTACGGAGAGCGTGATCACATAGTCATCCGGAACAGCTGGTGCTCTCATGCATGCTTCAGTGTTGCTTGCCTCGAAGCGAGCATAGAAGTGGTTTAGCTCGTCTGGTAGGCTTGTTTCACTGGGCAGCTCGCGGCTGTGCTTCCCTTTGTAATCTGTAATAGTTTTCAAGCCCTGCCACATCCGACGAGCGTCAGAGCCAGTGTAGTACGATTCAATCTTAGTCCTGTATTGACTCTTTGCCTGTTTGATGGTTCGTCGGAGGGCATAGCGGGATTTCTTATAAGCGTCCGGGTTAAAGTCCCGTTCCTTGAAAGCGGCAGCTCTACCCTTTAGCTCAGTGCGGATGTTTCCTGTAATCCATGGCTTCTGGTTGGGGTATGTACGTACGGTCACTGTGGGGACGACATCATCGATGCACTTATTGATGAAGCCAGTGACTGATGTGGTGTACTCCTCAATGCTGTCTGAAGAATCCCGGAACATGTTCCAGTCTGTGCTAGCAAAACAGTCCTGTAGCTTAGCATCTGCGTCATCTGACCACTTTGTTATTAACCGAGTCACTGGTGCTTCGTGCTTTAGTTTTTGCTTATAAGCAGGAATCAGGCGGATAGAGTTATGGTCAGATTTGCCAAATGGAGGGCGAGGGAGAGCTTTGTATGCGTCTCTGTGTGTGGAGTAAAGGTGGTCTAGAGTTTTTTTTCCCCTGGTTGCACATTTAACATGCTGGTAGAAATTAGGTAGAACGGATTTAAGTTTCCCTGCATTAAAGTCCCCGGCCACTCGGAGCGCTGCATCTGGATGAGCATTTTCATGTTGATTTATGGCCTTATACAACTCATTCAGTGCAATCTTAATGCCAGCATTGGTTTGTGGTGGTAAATAGACAGCTATGAAAAATATAGATGAAAACTCTCTTGGTAAATAGTGTGGTCTACAGCTTATCATAAGATGCTCTACCTCAGGCGACCAAAACCTCGAGACTTCCTTAGTATTTGATTTTGTGCACCAGATGTTGTTTACAAATATACACAGACCGCCACTCCTTGTCTTACCGGAGTCAGCCGTTCTATCCTGCCGATGTAGCGTATAGCCCGCTAGCTGTATGTTATCCATGTCGTCGTTCAGCCACGACTCGGTGAAACATAAGACATTACAGTTTTTAATGTCCCTTTGGTAGGATAACCGTAATCTTAGGTCATCCAATTTGTTATCCAATGATTGAAGATTGGCTAATAGGATTGATGGAAGAGGCAGTTTACTCGCTCGCCGTCGAATCCTTACAAGGCACCCCGATCTACGTCCACGATATCTCTGTCTCTTCCCTACGCGAATGACGGGGATTTGGGCCTTGTCGGGTGTCTGTATAATACTGGCCAATGCCAAGTTCAAATTCTAAAATAATTTGATGACATGTACAGTATGTTCCTAATCTTATACGTTAGCGGTAACTTGTCACATATAAATGACTACAGCATAATATGAGTTTGGGAGTGCAGTTTGTATCTGAGGGCATATGAATGATACATTGGAGTTCATCATATAATAATGCACAGGGAGTTCGAGTTGAGTTTGACATGGAAATCGTTCGTCATCGGGACGTAATTGATATGATCATATCAAATATAAGGGCTGGTGAGTGTGATAAGATGAGGTTGGAGTGCATTGTTGGAGTACAATAATACATTATCAGCTTTTCTAAAATCATGTGGGGACTGAGTTGGAGATAATCTTTCGAATTCACAATAGAAAATAAATATATAAGGTTGGGTGAGGTCAATGAATTGAAAAGTTATCCTTACATTGGAATGCCAACTCATCTCCTAAATAAAGTTGCATTTAAATGGACTTGACCCCCAACCCTAGAGAGAGGAGTTATGAAGGGGAAAGGGGACGAGAGTGCACAAGGGACCGAGGACATGAGACGTGGATAGGGGACAGGTTGAACAGAGGGGACCCACCCCTCATTCCCTCCCCCCACCACATCACCACCACGGCCCCGTCCCCAGGTGGCTCTGCAACCAAACAGCTTAGTTGACCATCCAGGTGTAGACCCCGTAAACCCTCTGGCTCCCACACTCGTCCGAGCCCCCCCATGACACCAGGCCTTGGGCCACCCAGGGCCCGCTTCCGGGCTCCTCCATCACAAAGGCCTCCCGCTGTCCCCCAGGCACGTGTCGTGCCTGCCCTCGTAGAAGCCGGCACAGAACATGTTGTCAGTGATGTTGTAGTTGATGGAGCATGAGGGGTAGCTGGCCTTGCACTCCTCCTGCGCCACCACGGGCAGCTTGACATACTGCATCACGTCCGACACCATGCCCAGGTCGGAGGAGAGCATGGCAGTGTCAGCGGCCGCGGAGGCGTTGCGGTTGGAGATGCCCCAGCCGGCCACCAGGCCCAAGGTGTTGAGCTGGGAGCTCTGGGGGCTGTCTGGAGGCAGGCAGACAGGCCGCACCAGCTCCCCCACAGGCACCGCCTGACTCAGCTTGACCAGGGCGATGTCGTTGTTGTAGTTGCAAGGGTCGAAGTAAGGGTGGAGGATGACTTGCTCCACTGAGCGGTTGGTGGCGTGTTGCTTGGCGCTGACGTCGTGCAGGCCCAGGTAGACGCGGACGTGTTCGGGTGACACAGGCACCACAGTGGCTTCCACGGTGAAGAGGACCTGCCAGGGGAAGGCCTGGCACAGCACTACGCCCCCCGACGATACGCTTCATATGCGCTGGAAAGGGCTGGGACGGCTCCCCCCATGCTGAAACACACAGACACAGACACAGAGTGTGAGTTGGACTCATGCTCTCCTGATGAGGTAACCCTGTGTGCGACTTAAAACCAGTGGCACCCTCGGTCCAAGAGAGAATTTTGAAATAGTTAAGATGGTCATCAAGGCAAAGGGTGGCTATTTGAAGAATCTCAACACTTCTTTGGGTTACAACATGATTCCATATGTGTTATTTCATAGTTTTGATGTCTTCACTATTATTCTACAATGTAGAAAATAGTAAAAATAAAGAAAATCTCTTGAATAAGTAGGTGTGTCCAAACTTTTGACTAGTACTGTATGTAAAAATAAAAAATAAAGAGTTTAAAAGCCACACACAATGTGTAAACGTATTACAACTGGAGCAGGCCAACCCTGCTGGGTGTGCAGGCTTCTGTTCCAGCCTAGCACTAACACACCTGATTAAATGTATCAAACCTAATTAGTTGATAATGAAGTGTGCTGTTGCTGGGATTGAATAGAAGTCTGCTCACCCAGTAGACCAGGGATCAGTTGAGCAAGGTTGGCCACCTCTGGTATGGACTTTTTGTTTTTCCACCTGAAATTATGCTTTAGTAATAATAGCCTACTTGTTACTAAGATGTCTAACCTTTAGATATGAGTTAGCTTACTTGTACTCTTTGAAATTATATGAAAGTGTTGATTCTTTGTGAAGTGTTTAAACTTGTTTTAATTGCTAACTTAAACTATTATTGAAGATGAACTAGTGTCAATGTTGTTTAATCACAGGTCACAATCCTGCAATAAAGAGGGGAAGGGAACATGTCTCTAATTTGTCTGTTTCTTTGTTGTATTCTCAAATGAACACTATCTTTTTGTTCAGTTGTAAGCTCTCCAATTACTTTTGATTGTCACTCTTTTTTTCAGGATATCAGGCATGTGAATCCATTTTGCAGCTGATAATGGCATACAACGCCAATGCAGCCATAGGCCTACAGCAGTGGTTCCGAACTCCAGTCCTTGAGTACACCCAACAGCACACATTTCTTTTGTAGCCCCGGACAAACATACCTGATTCAACTTATTGAGGGCCTGATGATTAGTTGACAAGTTGAATCAGGTGTGCTTGCCCGGGGCTACAATAAAAATGTGTACTGTTGGGGGTATTCGTGGACCAGAGTTGGCAACCACTGGCCTACAGTATGAAGGCATTTGCCTTATGGCCATTTGCAATGCACACCATGATATTGTGCATCTGAAGCAGAGAATAACTTAACTGACACATTGTTTACATAGCGTTGAGCTATATGTTCTCAATTTAAAAACGATACCAGTAGACAATGTACAGTGCATTCGGAAAGTATTCAGACCCCTTCCCTTTTTCCACATTTTGTTACGTTACAGCCTTATTCTAAAATTGATTAAATAGTTTTTTTTCCCACATCAATCTACACACAATACCCCAAAACGAAAAGTGAAAACAGGTTTAGACATTTCTGCACATTTACTAAAAATAAAAAACAGACATACCTTATTTACATAGGTAGTCAGACCCTTTGCTATGAGACTCAAAATTGAGCTCAGGTGCATCCTGTTTCCATTGATGATCCTTAATTCAATTGATTGGACATGACTTAGAAAGGCACACACCTGTCTATATAAGGTCCCACAGTTGACAGTGCATGTCAGAGCAAAAACCAAGCCATGAGGTCAAAGGAATTGCCCGTAGAGCTCCGAGACAAAATTGTGTCGAAGCATAGATCTGGGGAAGGATACCAAAATATTTCTGCAGCATTGAAGGTCCCCAAGAACACAGTGGCCTCCATCATTCTTAAATGGAAGAAGTTTGAAACAACCAACACTCTTCCTAGAGCTGTCCGCCCGGCCAAACTGAGCAATCGGGGGATGAGGTGACCAAGAACCCGATGGTCACTCTGACAGAGCTCCAGAGTTCCTCTGTGGAGATGGGAGAACCTTCCAGAATGATGACCATCTCTGCAGCACTCCACCAATCAGGCCTTTATGGTAGAGTTGCCAGACAGAAGCCACTCCTCAGTAAAAGGCACATGGCAGCCCGCTTGGAGTTTGCCAAAAGTCACCTAAAGGACTCTCAGACCATAAGAAACAAGATTCTCTGGTCCGATGAAACCAAGATTGAACTCTTTAGCCTGAATGCCAAGCGTCACGTCTGGAGGAAACCTGACACCATCCCTACGGTTAAGCATGGTGGTGGCAGCATCATGCTGTGGGGATGTTTTTCAGCGGCAGGGACTGGGAGACTAGTCAAGATCGAGGGAAAGATGAACGGAACAAAGTACAGAGAGATCCTTGATGAAAAGAGCTCAGGAACCTCAGACTGGGGCAAATGTTCACCTTCCAACAGGACAACGACCCTAACTACACAGCCAAGGCAACGCAGGAGTGGCTTCGGGACAAGTCTCTGAATGACCTTGAGTGGCCCAGTCAGAGCCCGGACTTGAAACTGATCGAACGTCTCTGGAGAGACCTGAAAATAGCTGTGCAGCGACGCTCCCCATCCAACCTGCCAGAGTTTGAGAGGATCTGCAGAGGAGAATGGGAGAAACTCCCAAAATTCACGCTTGTAGCATCATACCCAAGAAGACTTGAGGCTTTTGGTTGATACATTTGCAAAAATGTCTAAAAACCTGTTTTTGCTTTGTCATTATGGTATTGTGTGTAGATTAATGAGGAAAAAAATCTATTTAATCAATTTTAGAATAAGGCTGTAGCGTAACAAAATTTGGAAAAAGTCAAGGGGTCTGAATACTTTCCGAATGCACTGTATATGAGGCTAATCATTATACTAGATTTTGTACATGCCTTGTGTTGTTTAGTGCAAATCCAACCCTTGTAATCTAGGAAGTGAAATGTCTGAAAGCACGAGATGATGGGATCCTTAGTTTATAACATACACAAATACTACTACCAAGTTCAATACCAGATACTTTTCTCCCAGAAGGTCTCAGTGGCACTTAGATGTGCCAATGTGATAATGAAGATGGTTTTCCTAAGACAACAATTACATTGTCTATGCTAAATGTGTTTAAATTGTAAATAAAGAATAGTTGGGCTATAAGAAATACAGTACATTTTATTCAATGGGGCAAGGAAAAGCAGCGATGACACACAAAATATTTTTCTCCCCAACTGGTAGTTAGTCTTGTCCCATCGCAGCAACTTCCCTACGGCCTCGGGAGAGGCAAAGGTCGAGAGCCATGCGTCCTCCGAAACACAACCCTGCCAAGCCGCACTGCTTCCTGAGACACTGCACGCTTAACCCGGAAGCCAGCCGCACCAATGTGTTGGAGGAAACGCCATACTGGCCCCGTGTAGCTCAGTTGGTAGAGCATGGCACTTGCAACACAAGGGTTGTGGGTTCGTTTCAATGGTGAGGGTGGTGCTCAGGGAAGAAGGCAAGATGGCGGATGGCGAGATGACGTGAGGCAGAAAGAAGGGTGTGAGGTTCAAACCCAAACCGACATCTGCAAAATACAAACTGAGTACTTTCTCCTTTGAGTCAAGTACAGGAGGGATACAGTAATTACATGTTCCTCTCCTGAAAAGCCTGAGCAGTCAACAGATAGTGACCTCTTAGAAATTGAACCTGACAGAAGTGAAGAGGAAGAACCTGCGCCAAAAATGTGAGGGGAAGGCTTCCGAGCCTCACCCCAATGATCAGGAAAATGCCAGAGATGACTTCGGTCCAGTGGGAGTACGATTCTTGGAGAACGTAGATCCATGCCTTTTGGACGATCCATTTCTGGTATCAGTCTGGGTGAAGAAGCAGTTGGGTTCTGTCAATTCGGTCAAAGTATCCAGAGGTGGACTTGTGTTGATGTTTTGTGTGTCTGTTGCCCAGAGGGTGCTGCGCATTTTGTGACTTGGGACGAGAACTGCGTCCTGCTTTGCTCTCCGGAGCAGAGCATCACTGAACAGAGTGATAACTGAGTTTGGTGTTGAGTGTTGAGGTGGATCAACTGAGGATCCCCGGTGTCTGTGATGCACGTTGTTTGGTTCAATGCAGAACCCTGTCTGTCTTCCTGAGAGGATCCCTGTGAGTAGTAGGCCAGTACAGAGTGACCCAAACAGTTTGTGTTTTAGTAAGGTTGGCTTCTTGGCATTTATTGCATTAACTGTACCGCACAGATGGAAAGAAAAATCCCAGAAGACTAAATTGGCGGTAGCAGCAGCAGAGACATTTTTGGGTGTCAGAGATTTTAGTAAAAAAGAACTACAGAGGGTTTAGAGAGAAGGGTTTACAGCCTCCCAGGCCGACGGCCTGGTGTAGGATCTGTTAGGGACAAAGTAGTGGAAAGGGTTGGTGGGGTGTGTTGGGGATAGTGGTATATACAGTGACTTCAGAAACTATTCACACCCCTTGACTTTTTCAACATTTGGTTGTGTTACAGTCTGAATTCAAAATTGATTAAAGAAAAAAAAATGCACCCATCTACACACAATACCCCATAATGACAATTGAAAACATGTTTTTAGCAAATGTATTTAAAAGGAAATATCAAAATCTCATTTATAAACACTACTAAAGTTTGGACACACCTACTCATTCAAGGGCTTTTCTTTATTTTTGTAGAATAATACTGAAGACATCAAAACTATGAAATAACACATATGGAATCATGTAGTAACCAAAAAAGTGTTAAACAAATAAAAATACAGTTTGTATTTGAGATTCTTCAAATAGCCACCCTTTGCCTTGATGACAGACTTTACACACTCTTGGCATTCTCTTAACCAGGTTCATGAGGTAGTCACCTGGAATGCATTTAAATTAACAGGTGTGCCTTCTTAAAAGTTAATTTGTGGAATTTCTTTCCTTCTTAATGCATTTGAGCCAATCAGTTGTGTTGTGACAAGGTAGGGGGGGGTATACAGAAGAGAGCCCTATTTGGTAAAAGACCAATTCCATATTATGGCAAGAACAGCTCAAATAAGAAAAGAGAAACGACAGTCCATCATTACTTTAAGACATGAAGGTCAGTCAATACTGAACATTTCAAGAACTTTGAAAGTTTCTTCAAGTGAGGTCGCAAAAACTATTAAGCACTATAATGAAACTGGCTCTCATGAGGACCGCCACAGAAATGGAAGACCCAGAGTTACCTCTGCTGCAGAGGATAAGTTCATTAAAGTTACCAGCCTCAGAAATTGCAGCCCAATGTCACGCCCTGACCTGGAGAGACTGTTATTCTCTAGGTAGTTTGGTCAGGGTGTGAAACTCTATGTTAGAATTTCTATGTTTAGGATCTAGAATTGTATTTCTAGGTTTGGCCGGGTGTGATTCCCAATCAGAGGCAGCTGTCGCTCGTTGTCTCTGATTGGGGATCATACTTAGGTACCCTGTTTGCGTACCTTAGTGGTGGGATCTTGTTTATGTTCTGTGTTAGGCTTGTATGTGTATAGCCTGAGGACTTCACGTTACGGTGTTTCTTGTTTTGTTTATGTTTATTGAGTTAAATAAACATGTACGCTTTTCACGCTGCACCTTGGTCTGACCCGTCTCTCAATGTTCGTGACACCCAAATAAATGCTTCACAGAGTTCAAGTAACAGACACATCTCAACATCAACTGTTCAGAGGGGATTTTGTGAATCAGGCCTTCATGGTCCAATTGTTGCAAAGAAACCACTACTAAAGGACCCCAATAAGAAGAAGAGACCTGCTTGGGCCAAGAAACACGAGCAATAGACATTAGCCCGGTGGAAATGTGTCCTTTGGTCTGGAGTCCAAATTGGAGATTTTTGGTTCAAACCAGCGTGTCATTGTGAGACCCGGTGTGGGTGAACGGATGATCTACTTATGTGTAGTTCCCACCGTAAATCATGGAGGAGGAGGTGTTTTGGTGTGGGGCTGCTTTGCTGGTGACACTGTCTATGATTTCTTTAGAATTTAAGGCACACTTAACCAGCATGGCTACCACAGCATTCTGCAGCGATACGTCATCCGATCTGGTTTGGGCTTAGTGGGACTATCATTTGTTTTTCAACAGGACAATGACCCAAGACACCTCCAGGCTGTGTAACGGCTATTTTACCAAGAAGGAGAGTGATGGAGTGCTGCGTCAGATGACCTGGCCTCCACAATCCCCGACTTCAACCCAATTGAGATGGTTTGGGATGAGTCGGACGGCAGAGTGAAGGAAAAGCAGTCAACAAGTGCTCAGTGTGCAACTCCTTCAAGACTGTTGGAAAAGCATTCCAGGTGAAGCTGGTTGAGAGAATGCCAAGAGTGTGCAAAGCTGTCATCAAGGCAAAGGGTGGCTATTTGATGAATCTCAAATATAATATAATATATATATATATATATATATATATATATATATATATATATATATATATATATATATATATTTCATAGTTTTGATGTCTTCACTATAATTCTACAATGTAAAAATAAAGAAAACCCTTGAATGAGTATATGTGTCCAAACTTTTAACTGGTACTGTAAGTATTCACACCCTTTGCTATGACACTCCAAATTGAGCTCAGGTGCATCCAATGATTTATACCCTTTCCCCCGCCTCATCACAATTCTATCTCGGATATCTACAGACAGTTCCTTGGACTCCTAGTCAGAGCAGGTGTGTTTCTTTGTAAATAGTGTCCAAACAATTGAATTGGCCACAGGTGGACTCCAATCAATGAGGAGATAAAAATGTAATTCTTTGGCCTGGATGCAAAGCGCAATGTCTGGAGAAATCCAGGCACAGCTCATCACCTGTCTAACACCATCCCTACCATGAAGGATGGTGGTGGCAGCATCATGCTATGGGGATGCTTTTCAGAGGCAGGGACTAGGAGACTGATTAGCATGGAGGGAACAATGAATGGAGCCAAATACAGGCAAATCCTTGATGATAACCTGCTTCAGAGTGCAAACAACCTTAGACTGTGAGCGAAGATTTACGTTCCAACAGCACAATGACCCCAAGCATACAGCCAAAGCAATGCTGGAATGGCTTCAGAACAAGAATGTGAAAGTCCTTGAGTGGACCAGCCAAAGCCCAGACTTGAATCCCATTGAAAATCTGTGGAAAGACTTGAAGATGGCTGTTCACCACCACTCCCCATCTAACTTAACAGAGCTTGAGAAAATCTGTAAGGAAGAATGGGAGAAAATCCCCAAATCCAGATGTGCAAAGCTGATACAGACATACCCAAGACGACTCAAAGCTGTAATCGCCGCCAAAGGTGCTTCGAAAAAGTATTGACTGAGGGTTGTGAATACTTATGTAAATGAGATATTTCTGTATTTCATTTTCAATACATTTACTAAAATGTCCAAACATGTTTACAATGTGTCATTATGGGGTATTGTGTGTAGATGGGTGAGAAAACAATCTATTTAAGAATGTTTTAATTCAGGCTGTAACACAACAGAATGTGGAATAAGTCAAGGGTTATGAATATTTTCTGAGGCGCTAGGGCACATAGGGTTAGATGGTGGTGCAATTTCATTATTTCTCCATTTCCCTTTTCTTTGTGAACAAATGTGTAATGCACTTTCCGAACTGTGAAAGGCAGCAATTCACAACAAAGCCTCTAGTCTGCCGGAAAACCACATGAAGAAGAAGAAGTGGTCCCATGTAGCTCAGTTGGTAGAGCATGGCGCTTGCAACGCCAGGGTTGTGGGTTCGATTCCCACGGGGGGCAAGTATGAAAAAATGTATGCACTCACTGACTAAAATGGAAGATATACACTACTGTTCAAAAGTTTGGGGTCACTTAGAAATGTCCTTGTTTTCGAAAGAAAAGCAATAATTTTGTCCATTCAAATAACATCAAATTGATCAGAAATACAGTGTAGACATTGTTCATGTTGTAAATGGCTATTGTTGCTGGAAACGGCTGATTTTTAATGGAATATCTACATAGGCGTACAGAGTCCTATTATCAGCAACCATCAGTCCTGTGTTCCAATGGCACGTTGTGTTTGCTAATCCAAGTTGATCATTTTAAAAGGCTAATTGATCATTAGAAAACCATTTAGCAATTATGTTAGCACAGCTGAAAACTGTTGTGCTGATTAAAGAAGCAATAAAACTGGCCTTGAGACTAGTTGAGTATCAGCAATTGTGGGTTCGATTACAGGCTCAAAATGGCCAGAAACAAATAACTTTTTTCTGAAACTCGTCAGTCTATTCTTGTTCTGAGAAATGAAGGCTATTCCATGCGAGAAATTGTCAAGAAACTGAAGATCTCGTACAACGTTGTGTACTACTCCCTTCACAGAACAGCGCAAATGGGCTCTAACCAGAATAGAAAGAGGAGTGGGAGGCCCCGGTGCACAACGGAGCAAGAGGACAAATACATTATAGTGTCTAGTTTGAGAAACAGGTGCCTCACATGTCCTCAACTGGCAGCTTCATTAAATAGTACCCGCAAAACACCAGTCTCAACATCAACAGTGAAGAGGCGACTCCGGGATCCTGACCTTCTAGGCAAAGTTGCAAAAAAAAAGCCATATCTCAGACTGGCCAATAAAAAGAAAAGATTAAGATGGGCAGTCTGAGATATGGCTTTTTCTTTGCAACTTTGCCTAGAAGGTCAGCATCCCGGAGTCGCCTCTTCACTGTTGACGGGTACTATTTAATGAAGCTGCCAGTTGAGGACCTGTGAGGCGCCTGTTTCTCAAACTAGACACTCTAATGTATTTGTCCTCTTGCTCAGTTGTGCACCGGGTCCATTGGAACACAGGACTGATGGTTGCTGATAATGGGCCTCTGTACGCCTATGTAGATATTCCATAACAAATCAGCCGTTTCCAGCTACAATAGCCATGTACAACATTAACAATGTCTACACTGTATTTCTGATCAATTTGATGTTATTTTAATGGACAAAAAAAAAGCTTTTCTTTCGAAAACAAGGACATTTCTAAGTGACCCCAAACTTTTGAACGGTAGTGTATATTGATGAATCAGAATACAACAACAGTCACGTCTACTCCTGCTCCCTCCATCCGGTGCTTGATGTCGCCTGTCTACTAACCACCGGTCCTGACAACCCACATTGAGGAGAGAAAGCACCAGGAAAGCCTTCCCATCCTCATCATCACCGCACCCACACACAAAGTCATCCTCGGCCTCCCGTGGCTCCAACTTCATAACCCCACCATCTCCTGGTCAAAGATGAGAATCACCACCTGGGGACCAGGATGCCAGAGGACCTGTTTTCCCTCACCCTGTGGTTCCACGTCGGTGGAGGGCCCTGTGAGTGTCCTCCAGCCCATTAATCGGTCCTCCCATATCGTTGGCCCCGTGTTTTGGGACGTAGATGTGGACATCCGCCAGCGCAACTATGTCCCCACGGGGGTAAGAGATCAGCTGTTGACCTGGGCACACACATCTCTCGCCGCTGGACACCCCGGTATCACCCGCACCATCTAATCACTTTCCAATAAACACTGGTGGCCCATTTTGGAGCAGGACGTCACCCACTATGTCAACTCATGTTCGGTATGTACTCAATCCAAAACTACTTCCCCTTCTCGTGTCTCAGCGGCCTTGGTCACATCTGTCCATAGACTTTGTAACAGGTCTCCCTCTTTCTGATGGTTTTACCACTATTCTGGTTGTTGTTGACAGATTCTCTAAATCCTTCAGTTTTATCCCTCTCTCTGGTCTACCTACCGCTCTCCAGGTCGCTGAGGCACTATTCCATCAGGTCTTCTGGCACTATGGCCTTCCAGAGGACATAGTTTCCGACCGTGGTCCCCAATTCACATCGCGGGTCTGGAAAGCCTTTATGGAGAAGCTGTGGGCCATGGTCAGCCTCACATCCGGGTACCGGCCTCAGTCTAACGGGCAGATGGAGAGGACCAATCAGGATCTGGGGAGGTTCCTAAGGAGTCACTGCCAGGACCGGCAGGGGGAGTGGGCCCGGTTCCTTCCCTAGACGGAATACGTCCAGAACTCACTTTGTCACTCCTCCACCGGGCTGACCCCCTTCCAGTGCGTCCTGGGATATCAGCCGGCCCTGGCTCCATGGACTCCGAGCCAGACGAGGCCCCTGCAGTGGACAAGACGTTCCAGTGTGCGCCGTCAGAAGGATCAGGTGGACCGCCTCCCATGTTCCATCCTGGTGATTGCGTCGGGCTCTCCACCAGGAACCTTCCGCACCGCCTGCCCTCCCGGAAGCTGAGTCCCCGGTTTGTGGGGCCCTTCAAGGTCCTCCGGAGAGTCAATGAGGTAACCTATCATTTAGAACTCCCCACCAACTACCGGTTCTCACCCTTCTTTCATGTTTCCCTCCTCAGGCCGGTGGTTCCTCGTCCCCTGGCTGAGGCCATCCCCTGTGACAACCCTCCGCCTCCCCTGGACATCGAGGGGACCCCCGCCTATGATGTTAAGTCCCTCCTGGACTCCCGATGTTGTGGGGGTTGGCTCCAGTACCTGGTAGACTGGGAGGGGCACCCCAACATCATCCGGGATTTCCATCTCCGTCTTCCTGGCCAGCGTCGTCATGCGGCTGGAGCCGTGAATCGGGGGAGGGGTACTGTCACGCCTATCCCTGCTCCCTCCGGCGCTCGACATCGCTGGCCTACTAACCACCGGTCCTGGCAACCCACATTGCGCACACCTGGAAACCATCATTGCGCACACCCGCTCCCCATCGCTAAGCACACCTGGACTTCATCACCACCCTGATTACTCTCCTTTCATACAGCCCTCAGTAAGCCTCAGTCATCAGGCAGTATTCACGTTTTCTAGCTAACAAGGCTATTGAAATTAACTTAGCTAGCTATCTTAACCACCACCACCAGCTAGCTTGCTATTTTGTTATTTAGTTGTTTAGTGAACAAGATATAAAACTGAACATTACTTTATTTGTGAGATTAGCATAGAAACAACTTTCAAATTAGAAATATAGTTATCTACAAAAACAGAATCATTCAATAAATCACAAAAAAATGCTCACTCACCATAATAGCAGACTGGTCAACTGTCCTCTCAGAGCATGCAGCACGTTTGAAATATAAGCTCCTAGTAAGAGTTAGCTAAACTGTTTTAGCCATTGCATTTAGAAACCATTTTGCTAACATAGCCACATCATTAGCTGGCAAGCTAGCTGCACTAGCCAAATCGGGAATCCACATTTAACAAAGCTCTGTTTAGCAAGAAAAGGGTAACTATCATTTTTCCCCTCTTTTTTAATTTCTTTAAATTGCTAATTGAATCAGACTATTAATTGCGTTGTAAAGCTAGCATGAGCTAATGGCCCAAGATGCCTTTCTGTCATAGTGTTCCCCCTCAGGGACGGCTTGTTCAATAGGGCGATATGGGCGACGCACTGCCAAACGGGAAAAGGAAGGGATTTTTTTTCTAATCAATTATATCACGGCAACAGCAGTTATCAGTGTTCACGTCTGATCTGCCAGCCACTAAATGTCAAATCAGGCTAAAGTCGTGCTTCAAATGGCCCCGCCCGTTTTTGGGGCGATTTCAGTCAAGTTGAAAATCGCCCAGAAGTCTCTCATAGCCTGTCATGTAAAATCTATTTTTTTCACATTTCAAAGCTTTCAATACATTCTCTATGGGTGTCTGTGGGCTTGCACTTACGCGCTTTCGTCATACGTGACGTAACGTTGAACGTAACTAAGACAATGGCGGCTAGAAGCGTCTCTGTTGCGACCTGCAGTGCGGCGTTATTTTATGTTTTTAATTTGTAGACTTAGTTTACAAACATTCTGCCAACCATGGATTTCCAGTGGTTGGTTTTGGACTGATCTTGTTGATCGTGTACATACCCGCTACGAACGGACTAAATAATGAAAACGCTGCTGGCAGCTGAATCCCAATACAGCTGGGAGACTTGGCTGGATGAGTCCCGGACAGAGAAGTGGAGCCGGCCACCTTCACCCTGGTCAGAGCGGACCGCGATCCTGGTAAGAGAGCGACTCTGTACCCCGACATTGAACTGCTTTCTGTGTCATTGCGACCTTACTATCAATTCAATTCAATTTAAGGGCTTTATTGGCATGGGAAACGTGTGTTAACATTGCCAAAGCAAGGGAAGTAGATAGTAAACAAAAGTGAAATAAACAATAAATATTAACAGTAAACATTACACTCAGAAGTTTCAAAAGAATAAAGACATTTCAAATGTCATATTATGTATATATACAGTGTTGTTACAATGTGCAAATAGTTAAAGTACAAATGGGAAAATAAATAAACATAAATATGGGTTGTATTTACAATGGTGTTTGTTCTTCACTGGTTGCCCTTTTCTTGTGGCAACAGGTCACAAATCTTGCAGCTGTGATGGCACACTGTGGTTTTTCACCCAGTAGATAAGGGAGTTTATCAAAATTGGGTTTGTTTTCGAATTCTTTGTGGATCGCTGTAATCTGAGGGAAATATGTGTCTCTAATATGGTCATACATTTGGCAGGAGGTTAGGAAGTGCAGCTCAGTTTCCACCTCATTTTGTGGGCAGTGTGCACATAGCCTGTCTTCTCTTGAGAGCCAGGTCTGCCTACGGCGGCCTTTCTCAATAGCAAGGCTATGGTCACTGAGTCTGTACATAGTCAAAGCTTTCATTAAGTTTGGGTCAGTCACAGTGGTCAGGTATTCTGCCACTGTGTACTCTCTGTTTAGGGCCAAATAGCATTCTAGTTTGCTCTGTTTTTTTGTTTGTTCTTTCCAATGTGTCAAGTAATTCTCTTTTTGTTTTCTCATGATTTGGTTGGGTCTAATTGTGTTGTTGTTGTTGTTGTTGTTGTTGTCCTGGGGCTGTGTGGGGTCTGTTTGTGTTTGTGAACAGAGGCCCAGGACAAGCTTACTTAGGGGACTCTTCTCCAAGTTCATCTCTCTGTAGGTGATGGCTTTGTTATGGAAGGTTTGGGAATCGCTTCCTTTTAAGTGGTTACTATCTGCCCCGTGAGTTCCCCCAATTGTTTGTTACCGTTGTGTACTGTTGATAATCACAAGTTTACTGGAGAACTGAGACCAAGTAGAGACTTTGGACAGGGTGGATATGGTATAATAAAGGCAGTTTATTCAGAGGTAAAGATATCTGGAATCGCGTGCACGGACTCGTGCACGTGTGTAGGTCACCTAAATCATCAGAAAAATTGCCCCTCCTGAGAATTTTTTCAGGAGCCGCCACTGTTCCCCCTGCAGGCAGAAGAGTAAAACGGACCTTACTCACTTCAACCTTATCCCTTCTGAGGCAGCAAAACCAACAGTATCAACTCCTTCTGCCATAGGTCCTCTGAGGCAGAAAAACAATTGCATTACTCCTCTCCCTATGAATCTTCCTCTGAGGCAACAAAAATAAAAAAGTATATTCCATTCTATAACATTGCCTTCCTCAGAGGCAGCAGTGTTTTTAAGGTAGCTATTCTACGCTAGTAACCTCCACTGAGGCATCAGTAACTGTACTAGATTACTTCCATAGCCGCGGGAAGTAGGGGTGCTGAGGGTGCTGCAGTACCCCCTGAAAAGGAGATTGTAAAAAATAATATATACAAAAAATATAGATACAAATATATATGTTTTTTTTCACAAAAGTAGTGCACTGGGTCTTTACTAGTATTAGGGGACCAATATAGATGTCTGTAGCGGGGCAAAACATTTTTGTTTTGCATCTCTGCTTTGGCAAAAAAGGTAGTTGTATAATTAAGAACAGTAGACCAAGTCCATATTATGGAAAGAACACTTCAAATAAACAAAGAGAAACTTTGAAAGTTTTATCAAGTGCAGTCACAAAATTAAGCGCTATGATGGAACTGGCTCTAATGAGGACCGCCACAGGAATGGAAGACCCAGAGTTACCTCTGCTGAGTTACCACCACTCTGGACTACAGAGAATTAAACCACCTTGGATTATGTGACCGTTGGCAAGCTAACTAACATTAGCTAATTTATTAGCTGCTACTGTAGTACTTTAGCTAGCATTACAGTTAAGTGAATAATATGGCGAGCTAGCCCACTCAAAGTTTCCTTATATTATTTGTGGTCTGTATATGCTCATCAGTTAGCTCAGTTTCTTCTATATGACAGGCGAGATAGCTGTCCATTGAACGTTGGACATCATGCTTAAGTTGAACTTTGTTATGTTGATCATTCTCTTTCATTGGATTACATAAAACACTGTAAAATGCCTGTGAAGATGTTTAGCCCCATGTCAACGGACTCGAAATGGCTAACGTTACCTCACTTATTTAGCCAGTGTGCCAGCCTTAACACAGCGGGACCTTATTAATTCATCCTGCAACACCGAGAAGCATCAGGACTACTTTATATGAAGACTTAAGTTTCGATCATATCCTTGGACTAAAATGATCCTTGGACAAGCCTGACATCAACATCATGTGCAAAGGGCCTTTGGGTAATGTAGCACATATTCAATGGTATCTCTTTTTCTCACATATCCTGTTCATTTCTGACCTTTGGTAGTTTTTTTGGTTTATAAACTTACCATGGTATACCACGTTAACGCTATATGTATGGGCCATTTTGTTACTTGGTAGCTACTAGCAGCAGACCCTATATTGTGGATAATCTACAACTATTTTGGACAGTCCATACTGTAATGTTAACGTTAGTCAGGCTTCACTAACTAGCGATACTATTTAGGTGGAGCTATTCTTTGCTACTTTTCAAACAAATACTACGTACATATCATCTTGCTAGATATGTCTTTTGTTGTGATATTTCACATAACACCATGCAAGACATGCCTTTTGTTTTGTTCGTGAGGAGTAATGGCCAAGAGAAGGCAGGAGACACTTTGTTTTGTTTAGCGTCACTTAGGTTAGACTGTTCCCTTTAATGGATCAGTCGTCCACCAGGCTACACACTACGATTAGGGGGAGGTGGGACAGGAAGCATTGGGTGTCTCGGTTAGGGAGACAAGGGAATGGCGTTCAGTGTTTGATAGATTTATGTTTGTTTGTTCCAACAGATCTTTATATATTTTCCTCACTACAAAATATTCATGCGGTCCTTGTGGTTACTAACATATTTTAGATATGCCTTTATGCTATAGCTTATTCCATGTTTACAGCTTTGGTTAAATTACTTCAAATGTAAAATTGAAATTTACTTAGTGGAATGTCCGTGGAGTTTGTAAACTATCCAAGCTTAAACAGGTTATTTCTAGGCTTAAACAACTTCACTCATCTATTGTGTTCCTACAAGAAACTCACTTGTTGAAGGATGAGCTACTGAAAGTATGCAGGAGATGACAAGGGCAAGAAATAGCATCCTATTTCTCCTCTTATTCTCATGGTGTTATGGTTTTAATTCACAAATCTGTTCCATTTCAAGTGGACAATATTATAACAGATACAGTTGGTAGATACATTTTGATACAGGGAACTCTTTTGAATGATCATGTTAATCTGGTTAATGTTTATGGTCCTAATGATGATAATCCCAAATTCTTTGATAATTTATTTATATTGATGACAGCCTCCCTTCCTGGTAAAGTCCTAATGGCAGGGGATTTTAATTGCACTCTTGATCCTCATCTAGATCGCTCCTCTGGTTTAGACACTTCCCACTCACAGAGTAGAAAGAAATTACAGCATTTCATTAAGGACCTAAATCTATGTGAACCTTGGAGGACTCAGAACCAGAGTAAAAGTGAGTATTCATGTTACTCGTCGACATTGAAATCATATTCTCGTATAGACTGCTTTTTAGAGTGACCATTCCCCTGTGTCATTATTCTATAGGGATATAAAACTAGTAAAAGGATCATCTATATCAGGGGTGTCAAACTCATTTTAGCTCAGGGGCCACATGGAGGAAAATCTATTCCCAAGTGGGCCGGACCGGTAAAATCATGGTATATATAACTTAAAAACAACAACTTCAGATTGTTTTCTTTGTTTTAATACTATCAACATAAAACATAAAGCTGGAGCCTGAGGACAGTGTGTCCAAAATAGTACAAGCACAACATCACTATTAAT